CGGGAGGGTGACGGGGGACGGGGTCAGGGCTACGGGAGGCGCTGTCGATGCTGGAGCAGGAGATGACGGATCTACGCGCGGAGAGAGACGCGTTGGTAGAGCAGGCAGCCGCAGAGGTCAGGGCATCAGCAGGGGAGGAGGAGGAGGCATGACATGCCGGGGACGCAGGAGACAGCGACCAAGAGCCTCGAGGAGAGATACGAGGAGACAGCGCGTAGCGCCGAGGAGCTGAGAGCGAAGCTGGCTGAGCTGGTACGTACGAGGAGGCGGCGAGGGAGGACGGGAGCAGACCTGAGACCGGGCCCGGGGGGTCATAGGAGGGCGCCGGAGCGACCAAGGACGGTCGGGTGGAGGAGCTGGGGCGACTGGTAGAGGACCTCGAGGTAGGAGAGCGGGCCGGGCCGGGCCGGGCAGGACGGAGGGACGGAGGGAGGGGAGCTGACGGGCGCTTACAGGGGCAGCTTGCGGAGGCTTCAAGGAAGGAGACAGGTAGCCGCAGAAGGGAGGGGGGAGGGGAGGGACAGAGGCGCGGAGGAGGCGGGGAGGGGGGCAGGGAGGGAGGGGGATCAAGGAGGGGACACGGGCGAGACGCGGGCGGGGCGGGAGGGTGACGGGGGACGGGGTCAGGGCTACGGGAGGCGCTGTCGATGCTGGAGCAGGAGGTATCAGTTCTTTCGTTGGTTTGCTCGAATGCTGCAGATATAGCTCAGGTAAGGGATTGCGTTTTTATTTTTTTTTACGTTGTCACAGGCAGTCGACAAGTCGTTAGATGCGTTGCTGTCGCCGCTCTGTGTTGTCGAGGATTCTTTGCTCGCAGCCTCAACATGCGTCGATGAACTTCGTAGGCGGATGTCTTGTGCGCATGAAGCGAACCGAAGAGCGTCGGAGAGCTCTGCTGGGTTCCTCTCCTCTCTTTCTGTTGCGGTTGAAACCAGCGAACGAGCGGTCGAGGGTCTCGAGCTCTCACTCGCTGATTTCGTCACTCGCCAGCAGCACCTCGCGTCGCAGTCAAAGTCACGATCTCTCCAGCTGGACTCCTCCATCTGTAGTGTCGGCGCGACTGTCGAAGACATCGAGGGGATCCTTGCGCTATCAAAGGCAGCATGGCGGCACGTGCAAGAGAGTCTGTCGCACAAGTTGAGAATGTTGTTGAAGGAGGCGAAAACATGCGAAAGGATCGCAGGCGATGCTGGGGATCCAACGGTTTACAACGGACTTGTGAGAACCATCGACGAGCTGACCCGAACGAAGAAGATGGTGGAAGAAGAGCTGAAGGTGAGAAACAGTGAGCTGAACAAGCTCAAGAGACACGTCGAGAAGCTTAAGGAAAGCGACCGAGCGAGTGCAGCTCCTCCTCCTGCTGAAGCCAATCAAGAATGGCAGACTTTACAGCTCAAGCTCACGAAAGTAGAGCAGGAGAACCAGGAACTGAGTCGCCTGCTCGTGGACTTCGACTCGGAGCAGGTGCTTGCTGCCTCGCCTTGCTCGTCTGAACCGAAGACTGCAGCTGGCGATGAGAGATCATCTAGAGCAGCAGTCGAACACCTTCAAGAGCTTCTTGCTGTGCCTCCTCGACTTCCTCTCACCCGTCAGCTCCTGCACGCGCGAAGACATGCAGGAGAAGTTGGTGGACCTGCTCAAGTTCATAGACTTTGCTGAGGGTTCAGACTCGACCTCTGCTGAGGCCCTACAAGGTTCCGTCCTCGCTCTTGCTGCCCTTCGACCCGCGAGTGTCGACCAGGTGAGGGTCCCGTGAGGGTCTGGCGGGTGACCGACGAGCCTGGCAGAGAGAATCGACAGACGTCAAACGAGAACTCACAGAGATCGCCGCAGCTCTCGATCGCGCTCTCTCCCTCCACCACGAGTGGCTCTCCTCGCAGGCTTGCCTTCTGTGTGACAGCTTGTCGGAAGATCAGGGGCCATCCATCAACGCTGACTCGACCCTCCTCCGCACTCCTGAGACCTCAAGAGTGAAACGATCCTCCTCCACCCGCTCAGGCTGACAGTTGACCAGGACAAGCCCTGGCAGGTTGTGGGAGAGCTTGTCTCCGTCTCCAGTGCTTTCAAGCCTCCCAAGTGAGAGCGATAGGTCAAGCAGGTCGCTGATTGCTCGTCCCAGGGAGCTCATGACGCCTCCGACGCCCAAGAGCGACAGGGATGAGAGGTCGGCGGCAGCTTCTTCTTTCGCTTCTCACGTGCTGCCGCAGCCGGCGGAGCTCCACGCGACCCCTTCAGATCTTAAGCCCTCCGCCCAGCAGCCCCGACCATCTTGACAGTCCCACAGAAGACTCTCCAGGTCAGGTGAGCAGCAGCTGGGAATCGCACAAGGAAGGTGAGGAGGCAGCGAGACTCGCGTCGCCCGAGCCTTCAGCGAAGTCTCCTTGGACTCCCCAGACAGGCAGGAGAGGAAAACTTCCCCCGCTCCGAGTCACAGCCATCAGCGCCGTCAACCTTCGCACCCACTCTCAGCAAGTCTACTGCCGGATGCGACTGAACCGAGAAGTCAGAGTCTTATGCTCTCGCCCTCGCTCTGCTTCCCTCCTCCAGCTGCCCCTCCTCTCTCCCCCTCGCTTCCTCTTCTCACCATGTATCAGACTTGGCATACTGCCCTCGCAGCGGCGGACAAGGACCCCTACTGGAACGAGAGCCATGTCTTCCTGCCGGACAGGTGCGCCTCAGACACTGGGCTCTCGAGTCCGCGAGGTGACGGAGGAGCAGAGTGACGAGGGATCTACACGTAGCGCTGCTGTCGGAGCATCACGACATGCTCGGGCATGTGTCAGTCTCCCTCTGGGACGCCGGCCTGCAGGTGTCTTCCTCCCTTGCCTCCCGTATCAGCTGAAGAGGAGCAGGGCATGTGGGAGGAAGGAGCTAGCGCTCGCAAAGCGCTGGAGGTAATGAGCATGGATGGAGCGAGCGTGCGAGGCACAGGAGGCCGAGCAGGTACGGGAGAAGCATGCGAGGGTATGCTGACAGCGCTTCAAGTGCTTCTCCATCTCGACTTCTCTCTGGATCCGCATACGACTTAGAGTGGAGCAAAGCAGAAGCGAGAAATGAAGGGGAGCAAGAAAATCACAACTTGAGCAATTGACCATGTAAAACACAAGTTGAAATAGGTCACAAAGCTTAGCTTGCTTTGATCCTGACATCTACTTGCCTCCTACCGCCATCGTTCCTGATTCTTCTGCCGCCTGCTCTGAATGTCAACGAACAAGCTCGACCACTCCTCTTCCTCACGACCGGAATCTTAGTCAGCTTCGGGCCGGCACCATCCACAAAGAAGATGTCCTGAAGGGAAGGGTGAGCGGGGGAGGGCAGCGGGAGCGGAGGGACCTTGATGTCGATCTTGAACTCTTTGACGATGACAGACACGAGGTCGTCTTTCACGTCTCCCTGGATCTCAATCTCCTCCTTGTTATCGGCTGTCTCTGTCACTGCTGCTCCCGTCGAGAACTTCTTCTTGAAGATCTTGCACGCGTCCGGCAGCTTAATGCCTGCCGCCTCGTCAGCGAGGTCAAGCGCCTCCTCCTCCTGCGCTCCAAGCCCCCAGCCCTCATGCATCAGTCGCATCATCGACGCTCAGCATTTGATGGTTTCTTGAGACGATCATCGGGACTCGCAGGGGAAAGCGAGAGGGAGGGGAGCTAGAGCCTTACCGAAGAGCTCCAGGCCTCTCACTGTGCAAACGAACTTTCGCTTCTGACGCTGCTTGGAGGACAACCAAACCTCCTTAGCCGGCTCCTGCACAGCCGATCTCACCCCTCCCCTCTCTCCCTGCGCATCCCCACCTTCACTTTCTTTCCTCCAGGAAGCTCCTTCACTTTGGGCTCTGCTTCCTTCGCGTCTCCTCCACTTGCAGCAGCAGCTACACCCTCCTGCTCAGTCGAGTAGCCATACTTGGCTGCGAGCTCGGGTGCATTGGCGAGAAGCCATGCCTGTCAGACCTTGAGACCCCATCGAGCTTGCCGCACAGACGTCAGCACGCGACCCTCACCTTGCATTCCGGTGTCACTTCCCCGCTCTTTGGGCCCATCCATGCGCAGTACTCCGGGGGACATGAGCAGGCTCCGCAGTAGAGAACCTGAGGCGTCGGTGAGGCTTGACGGAGGGGACACCAAGTACTCACTTTGAGAGGGTACCTCGAGTCTAGGTTGGCGTCTTCCATCTTGCCAGCAACCTGAGCAACCTCCTCGTCCGAGCCATTCTGAGCCTGTCTCAGCCTCCTCGCTCATGCGCATGCCATCTACCTCTTCGTCGCTCGAGTCCTTCTTACGGACGCGTCGGGGCATCGCGAATGGGCGTGTGAGGGCCTAGGGACGAGCGAAGAAGAAGAGAAGTTGCGAGAGAAGAAGAGTCTTCTACAGGAGCGAGAGGGGAAGGAGAGGAGGGAGAGGAGGGAGAAGAGGGAGAGGAGGGAGAGGAGGGGTGGGGGGTGAAGGAGGAGGGGGCGGGAGGGAGGGAGGGGGTAGGAGGAGGAGGAGGAGGACAGAAGCGTGCCACGCTTTTTAGAGGTTTGAACTGACTTGAATCGAATGATTTTATCAAAAAAATCATACTGAATCGAATCAAACCGTCAAAATTTGCTAGCCTGGCATGGTGTCGCCCGTCGAAGCACCCCGATAGTCGGAGCCCAGCAGGGCGTCCGAGTCAGCTGGAGTCTAGTCAGGTCTGCCCGGTTAAGGGGAGGAGAACGTAGCCGTCGTCTCGCGAGGAGTAGAGGAAGACGAAGCCGGAGGAGCGAAGGTTGCCGAGCAACTGCGAGTGAGTGAGTGAGATCAGGGAGGGAGGGATCGGAGGCCCTCACCTCCTCCAGGTGTGCAAGCTCCTCTGAGTGTCTCCCGTGCTTCTGCCGGATGCTTCTGATCGCGTCTTGCCACTTGCTCGTCTGGCTCTGCTCGAAGACTTCGGCGAGGATGGCGAAGGGGATGGAGGCGCACGCGACGACCTCAGCAGAAGAGAGCCCGAGGACTTTAAGGACCGAGAGAATCTTCCGCTGAGCGGCTTCGCTGATCTTTCGCTTCATCGACTCTGACTTCTTGTCGTCGGTGAAGTGCATGGACAGACGCGCGGGCCCATGCTCGACCCCCGCGACTGAGAGTTGGGAGCGCTCCTGGAGCAAGTGAGAGAAGTCGCCGGACTCTGACTTCCTGATCTTCTCTCGCTCACTGCCTGCCTTGTCCCTCTCAGCCGGAGAGCTTGCTACCCCCGCGCTGCTCCTCTTGGTCGACCGAGGCGTGGAGGAGCTTGTTGGAGGATGCGAGTGATGGTCCAAGAGGAAGTCCAGAAGTTCGCTGACCCCCACGCAGCTCTTCTCCTCGGCCTTGGGCCCCTGACTACCTCGGCACCTCGTCACTCGCATCTTCATCTCCTTGGCCTTGCCGAAGTTGCTCTTGTCCCCCGACCTCTCCGACTCTATCACGACCATCCAGTCCATCTGCCTGCTCGCGCAGAAAGACTGCAGCTGCTCTGCGCTGAAGTCAGCATGCAGTGCTTGCGAGGCGATCCCGTTGTCCCACAGCTCGTTCATGAGGCGCAGCCGCTCGAAAGGACTCACCTGCTACCAGTCAGAAACTCCCTCTCCTCCTCTTCCTCCTCCCCCCGCTCTTCCACTCCTTCCCTCACCCTCTGTTCTCCCTTCACAACACACTCACCGATCCTCTGGATTGCACCAGCACGTTGCACAGAGGGTTCACGCTCTTATCGTGCGTGGGGTGAGTCATCCCGGTGCCGTCAGGCCGCCAGGAGATCTTCGAGCACCCGCACAGTCTGTCGAGCGAGACGCAGAACCCGACAGCGCCGTTGGGAGCAGAGGAGCTGCCAGCAGCATCTGCAGCCTGCGACCGCAGCGTCTCGTCGTATCGTCCGCCTGCCATCGAGTCACTTCCCTCGCTCCCACCCCCCTCCCTTCCGCACCACCTTCCCTCGCTCCCTTCCCCTCTCCCTTCCCTCGCTCCTCCCTTCCCTCGCTCCTCCCTTCCCCTACCTGCCGCGATGATCTGAAGCTTCTGCTTCATGAGCTTCACTCCGGCGTTGAACATGATCCCTCCCCGGTACCTGCCAGGCCGTCAGAGCCGCCGCACACTGAAGCTCGTCGACCTCTCGAGGTGCAGGGCAGGGTCGATGAAGAGGCGGATCTTGTCGATGTTGGGAGGGAGCATGGCGAGCAGGAGCTCAACCGTCATCTTAAGGTCCTTGATCGCCTTGGAGCCTTGCACAGACGAGGAGAGGAACTCATTCAGCACCTTCACCTGCGCCAGCAGCCCCTTGTCTTGTGCCTCCCACACCTTGTTCAGAACCTCCCAGATCCGCTCCACGCAGTCGAGGTTCTTGCACATGTGCAGCAGCTTCTTCCTCCCCGCCGCTCCTCGTTCCAGGATGCTGCTCTGCAGGATGGCGTGGTGTAGCTCTCGCCGTCTGTTGGCAGGCACTTGGGCCGCCTGCATCATGCCGTCGAGCACGTCCATGCAGGAGATGGTCACGATGTAGCTTCCTGGACCCTCCAGCGGAAACTCCGACAGGATCTCCAGCAGCACTCGCACACACTCTGCATCCTCGATGGCCCTCTGCTCGACCGTAGCAGAGGAGGAGCAGACGATGTCGAAGGCTGTCTCGAAGCCCTCGCGGATGGTGCCTTCCTGCCTCGCCCTGTACACGTTCCCGAAGCTAAAGCGGCGAAAGGCAGAGTGAGACGAGCGATGAGCAAGAAAGTAGAGGAAGGGAGCAGTCAAGTCGTACGGCAGGTAGAACTGTGCTCCTGCAGCATCCATGACATGGACAGCTCGATGCAAGGCGGAATGTCCAGCCTTAGGGATGAGGAGGGGAAGCCGCAGGTACTGTGCCGCGTGCTTGAGAAAAATCCTGCAGCTAACGATCAGCATGCAGAGGAGGAGGAGGAGGAGGAGGAGGAGGAGGAGGAGGAGGAGGAGGAGGAGGAGGAGGAGGAGGAGGAGGAGGCTATTACCTCGTGAGGTTGCTTAGCACCAGCGCAAAGTCAGAGCCTGAGTATTGGGAGAGAGCGTTCTTGGGGTCGTAGAAGAGAGCAGCAGCGCGGTCCTCGCGCTCGAACAGCGCTTCCATCAGCATCGCGTGGAAGTACGGTTTGCTCTGCACGTTGCTCAAGAACTGCGACAGGAGGTCAGGGAGGCAGGGAGGCAGCAGGGAGCACCTGGTGTAGCTCGCTCTCCAGCATAGTCCGAGGAAGCAGCTCGCTGTCCAGCACTTGCAGGGCCGTTGGACGAGTCGTCGGCTCAGCATTGATGAGCCAGCGGATGAGCTGACAGACGTTCCGCCTGTTGGCCTTGACCTGCTGGGCCTCAAAGCCCTGCGGAAATGACTCCAAGCGACGCAGACGGTCAATGCTGGTGATCCGCTCCATGGTAGTAGCGAAGGCAGACCACATCTCGAACAGAATGATGCCCAAGGCGTACACGTCTCTCTTGCTCTGGTCGGACACCGAAGACACACTATCCATCACCTCAGGAGCGAGGTACAACATCGTCCCGACGTTGGCAGACGTGTCGTCCCCCTCCAGTGAGCCTGAGGCCGCGCTCACAAGATTCTCATGCGCCTCCTCCCCATCCTCATGCTCTCCCTTGATCTGACTGAAACGCGCAAGGCCGAGGTCTCCTATCTTGATGTCTCCGCTGAAGTCGAGGAAGATGTTCTTGGGCTTCAGGTCGCGGTGTACGATCCCTTTTGAGTGGATGTAGGCGACGCCGGACACAATCTGCCTGAAGAGATTCCAGAGCCTCTCAGGGGCCTCATAGAGCCGCTCGTAGGCGATCACCTCCGACAGCGTCTTCTCGCAGTACTCCATCTGTATGTACAAGACCTGAACCTCCAGCAACTGCTTGCTCGAAGCAGGGCGAGGCGCTTGTGACTTGCTCGCGTTCTTCTCCTCCACAGCTTCGCTCTCTTCCAGACTCTCACTTTCTGTGTAGCCATCCGACCACGAAGCTTGTACCCCCTCGCGCGAGGCAGCAGCCCGTCCTTGTGCAGCATGCGCCCGGTCCCCTTGTAAGGACTTCAGCTTGATGTCAGCGAGGAACTGCGCGTCGAAGATTGAGTCTTCCACCAGGTCGGAACCTTGAGAGGAGGAGGATCGAGTGCTCGAGTCAGAGAACTCGCGGTCCTCTTCGATGCCGCATTCTCCTTGCCTGCTCTCGATCCATGCCTGGTAATACCTCACGATGCTCTGATGATGCAACCCCGACAGCGTCTTCACCTCCCGCAGCATCTTCCTGTTCAGAGTCTCGTTGGAAGAGTCCAGCTGGATCTTCTTAATCGCGTAGCACTGCCCATCCAATCGGTTCCGACACATCCAAACCTCCCCGAACCCGCCCTTCCCCAGCTGCTTCACTTCCTCGAATTCCTGCCTGTACCGCGACAGCGCGTGGGTTGCCAGCGATGAGATCGGATTCTGCACAGCATGCGCAGGGATGGGGAGCTCAGCCTTGCCGGCGGCCTCCTTTTGTGCATCGACCGTGAGCAGCTGCAAGTGATCGGCCTGGTGCGGGACGACCTGCAGAAGCTTCGCGTCCACTCTCAACGAGTTCCTCAGGTTGGAGCTGCTGAGACCTCCTACACTCAAGAACGAGTGCTTCTCCAGCTCTGCTGCAGAGGGTCTCTTGTTGGGATCGCGCACGAAGCAGCTGTAAAGACAGGCAAACGAGGAATCAGACGAGGAACTGGGAGGGGGAGGGTCACCTCAAGATGAAGTCCTGGCAGAGGTCCGTCAAGTCCGAGGGGATGTTGGGCGGGTCTTCATTCTTAACCACATTCCGCATCACAGCGATGTCTGTGCTGAAGGAGGAGAAGGGAATGTTGCCTGTCAACATCTCGAGGACTGAACACCCCACCGACCACACATCTGCAGCATAAGTGTAGCGACGACGAATCACTTCAGGAGCCATGTACCTAGAGGTTCCCCGCATGCTCTGAAGCATCTTGTTTGCGCTCATATCTTCAATCACATTCGGCAGCCATTTGGCTTCGCTGAAATCACTGATCTTCAACAGCCCGTTCATGCCAAGCAACAAGTTGGCCGGCTTGATGTCTCGATGGACGATGTGGTTCTCATGGAGGTAGCAGAGTCCTCCCACCAGCTGCTTTGCGAACAGTCGCACAACTTCTTCCTCGAGACAACCCATAATCCTCAACAATCCTGCGATGCTGCCCATGGGCATGTACTCCAAGAACACTCTGAAGACCAAGCTATCTGAATCCGCACCGAACACCTGCAATTAAGAGTTTCAAACTTTGAGAAGAGACGAAGAGGAGCAGAATCACCTTGACGATGTTTGGATGATCTAACTGACGATGGCAATCGATCTCTTGCATGATCTTTGCTATCTGCTCATCCCTGAGAGCTCCTTTCTTCAGCGTGAACTCCTTGATCGCAAACACAGTGCCCACTTTCAGCTTTCCCTCTGTGAAGTTGCTCTCTGCCATCGCTTTGTATACAACCCCGAATCGTCCAACTCCGATCACTTCTGGCACCAGAATGAATTCGCCAGATTCAGATCGTTGAGCTGTCTCGAACTTACGCCAACGGAAAGGTTTGGGGGGGTCGCCAGTGTCATCAGAAGAAGACTTGTGCTCTGAGCTGTCTTGCCTTTCAGAACTAGTCGCGCTCTCATCAGCACACCATTCATCTGCAGACTGCGCCTCTTCCTCTTCACTGCCACTCCACAGCTCTCCAGCCAAACGATTCATCTTCTTTGACTTGGTTTTCTTCTTGTAGAGCTCTTTTCGCTTTCGCATTTCCGCCTCTGCTTCTGCCATCATTCTGGATCTTTGCTGCTGCTTCATCTCCAGTGCCATTTGATCTTTTTCTCGTCTTGCCTTCTCTTCTTCCAATCTCTGAGCTTCTTTTTGCTGCCTCTCTTGCTCCAACATCTCATCGTGGATACTTCTCCTAGGGTCTATGTTGTGCTTTCTCAGGTACTCTTGCGCTGCCTGTGCTAGCTCGAACACCATTTCCCGCCCTATCAAACTCTTTGCGAGCTCTCGCAGCATCGCCTCAAGCTCCTGCACCTGCTCATCATCCATTCCTTTCCCGCGCGTGACCTGAAGGCGAAGAGAGTCCAATTCTTCGGGGTAGCGGGGGCCCAAGCCCACAAGCAGGTCTACTTCAGCGAAGCTTTTCTCCGGCTCATTTTCTGCTCGCACTCTGAGCTTGAACTTCCTGTAGTCACTCGCGTCCTCTCCTTCAACCTCCTCGTTGCCACCGTACTCAAATTCATCAGGGAAAATGGCTGCCAGGGATACAAGCTCAAGCCCTCTGGTCGTCTTATCAAGGCTGAACACTTTGCTGTCCGACATCGCTGAGATTGACTCAGGGCTGATGTTTGCTGTCTCGGATATTCAGTGAATGCACTCTCAGACTTGTACAAGCTTCAAGCAGCTTGCACCCGAACCCTGGCAGGGTCCTCGCTGCTAGCAGACATTGCAAGGACAGAGAGATCGGTGTACACCACTGCCTCGCTGCGCATCAACTGAAACCATCTCTTGGTAATCTCATGCCGACTTCCCCCAGAGAGTCCGTAAGCTTCAGGTGCGCACCAAACGAACCAGGCCTGTACATACACCCCATGCTTGACATCACCCTTGGCTTCGTGTCGGTGTCATCCGTTAGAGTGGATGTGGCAACTTTCTCTACTTCTCTCCTTGTCGTGACACTCTTCTCTTCTTCTCTCCTTCTCTTCTTCTCTCCTGCTCTCCTTCTCTCCTTCTCTTCTTCTCTTCTTCTCTTCTTCTCTGCTTCTCTGCTTCTCTGCTTCTCTGCTTCTCTGCTTCTCTGCTTCTCTTCTTCTCTTCTTCTCTTCTGCTCTTCTCTTCTTCTCTTCTTCTCTTCTTCTCTTCTTCTCTTCTTCTCTTCTTCTCTTCTTCTCTCCTTCACTCCACCTTCCCTGCTGATGACTACTAAATCTGCATAGAGTATCTACCCCCCCTTTCCTCCTAGAAAAGTACCCACCCTTATCTATGCCTCCACTGTTTTACTCAATATCCTCCATAGAAGTACCCTACCCCCTAGATGAGCCTTGGAGATTCTTCCCGACAGGGGTACAAGCATGGTAGATGGGGTGGTGTATGGGATACCTTGAGGCGGGGATCTGGTGGCCGCCATGTCCAGAAGGAGGATGGCGAAGATGATGATGGCGATGATGGCAATGGCAATGGTGGCGACCAGCGAAGGGTTTTCAGTGAGTCATCTTCCTTCTACCTAGCTCTGCTTCCCCATCCCAGCTGATTTTCTCCTCCTCCTCCTCATTCGTTCGTTTCTGCTTCCGTTTGGAGTAACTGTAGGGTTGTTCTAGCTGTGCCCTCTCCCGCTCTCGCTGGGATGGAAAGGAGGGAGAACCGCATCATCGTCTCGTGCTTCTGCTTCAAGATCTCATGGTCTGCGGATGGCCGAACCTGCTTTCAGGATTGGCCACGGGTTTGACATCCATCGTCTCGCTCCTCTGGAAGTTGCTGGGCAAGGATGTGTGAGTGATACTGATACAATCTCTATGACTGATACAACCGATACCACCTCTATGACTGATACAACCGATACCACCTCTATGACTGATACAATCGATACAACCTCTATGACTGATACAATCGATACAACCTCTATGACTGATACAACCGATACAACCTCTATGACTGATACAACCTCTATGACTGATACAACCGATACAACCTCTATGACTGATACAACCTTTGCAGGTGATCGGGGGTGTCAAAGTAAGTGCTTACTGTGCGACTTTTTGCAGCGCCTTATCGGCCATTAGGTGGAGAACTTTGAGCTGGGAACTGAAGCTCACTCAGACGGCGACGTGCTTTATCACAGCGTACACGTCGTTCGCCTCACACTCAAACGATTCACATGCTGAATGGAAGGTGACGGACGCCATCCTAGGAGCCTTGAGCCTCCCCGACATAGGTCAATTGTTCCCTGACACTGATCCCAAGTGGAAGGGGTGCGACTCCGAGAAGGTGCAGATTGCTGCTCAAGGTGATGGCGACCTTGTCTGACCAGCAAGCAGTTCTTGGCAGAAGCCTGGAAACTCATGGACGAAAGAGGATATCAAGTTTCAAACCTTGACGTCACCCTCATCCTTGAGGTCTCGACCTTGACTTCCTCGTCCTTGTCTGTCCCTTCACCTCAACTTACGCTACGTATGTTCCCCGCAGCGGCCGAAAGTATCTCCCATCAAATCTCGAATGGAAGACAACCTTTCTCGAGTCTTGAAAGCGGAGCTTGATGTGGTAGGACGAGGTCACGGCGATCCGAGCATGGCGTGATGATTCATCCTAGGTCAACGTGAAGGCCAGGACGCATGAGAAGGTCGATAGCATTGGTGAAGGCAGGGCCATGGCATGCCATGCGGTAAGTCTCAAATCGTCGGCAGTTGAAGATTGATCCTACCTCAGGTCATTCTGATGGAAAAGAAGGCCAAGTAGAACCACTTCTGACTCTGCGACTCGCATCTCTGAGCATAGATGAAGTAAGAGTCTCTTCAACATCCAGCAGACACACACGTAGCCTACTCTCAAACGGTCAGACAATATCCCAAAAACCTCACATCAACTTTCCAATGATCCCATCTCCAACACTTTTTTTCAACGCCAGATACTGAGCAGGGGCGTTCGATGTAAGTCTCACTGTCTCCGAATGGCCTCGCGAACTGGCGGGCCCGGCCCCGGGTAGCCTCCGGCGAGGCTGTCAGTGACTGAGACTAACTGAGCCCGGCGGTTTTTTTTATGGAACTTCGGAAGCTTCTCGAACAACCAGAACACCCCAAGTACCCCACTACCAGCATCCTCCCCCACCCGTATATGGTACCAAAAATACCCCCCCCCCCTCCCCGAAAAAACTTCAAGGCAAGTCGTTGAGTACCCCATCATGCAAGAACAATGGCCGATGTATGAAGGCTTGTGTAGCTTCTATAGGAATTATCGCATCTCACACGCGATGTTGCGTGTGTTGTGGAAGGAACACTATGGGGATGCCACCGCTTTCAGGGTTGAGGACGAGGGAGATTTCTGGATCATCTTCCGACAGATCATTGAGGGCAGCCCAGGAAATGTGCCGTATGACACTATTCTGAATGCTTTCAAAGAGAAAAAACTTTATGGACTCAAGGTAATCGAGACCGAGGAGATGTTTCGTCTGGGGTGCAAGCTCGATCCTCTTTTCTGTGTGGACATGAACGGTGACCCCGGTGATTACCTGCTGCCCTGCTACTGCATCATGCAAGACGATATCGCGGAGTATATCTGGGTGAGGCCAGACATGCGGAGACAGGGGCTCGGTCGCCTGTTTGTACAGAAGCTCCGGATCAGGGAGGCATGGAACCCACTGCCCGAGAGCGTCGGGTTCTGGGAGAGCTGCGGTGTAGAGACTGTTGAGAGTCTTTCTTGAAATAAAGAATCGTTTTTATTTTCACACTACTTCGTAACAAGCAACTTTGCAAGATAGTTCTCGACCCCCCTGATGTGACAGAAGTTGGAATTCATGAATGTGATTGCCTTCGTGTAGATCTTGGAGTCCACGGGGATGTTCCTAGACCGGACGAATCTCAGCGCGGCTTTTGTGATCTGCTGATGCAACTCCTCTGGGGAGACCTCGGTGTCATACTCGACAGCACTGAGATAATGGTCGATGTCACCATAGGTGAGCGGGTTTGGGTACGCCGCGCCGAGGGTGAGGTTCTGTATGGAGGACTGCATCCTTCCTTTGATTCTCGCAAGCGCTTCAAGCCCGATATAGAAGCAATTCGAAATTGACTCAAATTCATGAACCTCCTATTACAGGTGGAGTGGGAGTACCCGGTGGTTATACATGAATATATAGTGCAGATAGGGGGTACATATGTGTTACGTGTTATGTTTCCCAGCACAAAATGTAATACGTGAGTACCCCTTAAATTAAGGCTTTAACTCCCGCCCGCAAGAGGCTCATGACTCTGTTTCTGTGGTTTTCATCGGAAGAGCTTAGTGGATAGTAGATGGGTGTTCATTTTTGTGGTAATACATGTTGATTCTCATTCGCGCTTTCTGCGGCTGGCGGCGTTGCAGAAGGTTGTCTTCTTGGAAATCAGAGGAAATGTGGAAAGCAGATGTATGAACGTGATTCAATGCAGTGACTACGAGATTTTTGAGTATCTTTAATGAATAACTCAAAATTTCTTTGGAATCCTCTTGAGAAGGGCTGCAATCAGCCTGTCTTTGTTCTCTAGTTCTAAAGCATGTTTCTGTTGCATCTTGTCGATTTCAGATTCATACTGAAGCTTTGTCTGCTTCACTTTGTCGAATGCTTGATGTTGGAACATCCTTCTTATCCAGGCTTCATATTCGACAACCTTCAAGTTATCAAAGTGATCATTTGACTCAATCTTGACACCAAAAAAATTCAACAAGCTGCGACACAGCATGTCATGATCGGAATCTATAGAAGATTGCAACAAAAATGGAACGAGCTTCCTGATAGTAAACCGGTCAAGCATGTGAAAAAGTCTGATTACATACAGTCGCCATTGAACAGTCTCACGGTTGCTGTACTTGGGGCTCAATATTCGCCCACCGACTCCATTCCCACGGCTGAACAACAAATTACATGTCCAATGTGCAAAAATGCAACTTCGAGCATAATCGAAATCCACAAATGGTTTGTATATCACAACTGCATCAGATTCGCGAGGTATTTGAGGTGGTCGATATACCACAAGAGCCAAAGATACTTTGGGTTTCTTTGACATGCCAATGGAGGAGCGCCGTGCCTTGCGTTTGATGGGCATTGTGACTTCTCAGATTTTCCTAGGTCCCACCCTTTATTATATGTGGAGTGGAGTGGGAGTACCCGGTGGTTATATATGAAGATATGGGGGAAATGGGGGTGGTGGGGGTTATATGGGGTGGTGGGTCATTCCAGGTGGGGTGGGTGTACCCGGTGGTTATATATAAAGATATGGGGGAAATTGGGGGTGGTGGGGTTATATGGGGTGGTCGTCCTATTACAGGTGGACTGGGTGTACCCGGTGGTTATATATAAAGATATGGGGGAGATTGGGGGGTACTGGGGGTACATGAACCTGACTGACATGGGGTAGTCGTCCTATTACAGGTGGACTGGGTGTACCCGGTGGTTATATATAAAGATATGGGGGAGATTGGGGGGTACTGGGGGTACATGAACCTGACTGACGCCGGGGTAGTCGTCCTATTACAGGTGGACTGGGTGTACCCGGTGGTTATACATGAATATATGGGGCAGGCAGGGGGTACTGGGGGTACATGAACCTGAATGACATGGGGTGGTCGTCCTATTACAGGTGGACTGGGTGTACCCGGTGGTTATACATGAATATATAGGGCAGATAGGGGGTACATATGTGTTACGTGTTATGTTTCTCAGCACAAAATGTAATACGTGAGTACCCCTTAAATTAAGGCTTTAATTGGGGGTACAAGGATCTTAGCCGAAGTGTCATTGATTACAGTACGGGTTGTTTTATTGTATCATACCACCCCTCTATGTTTGTCTCTTGGTTATTCCCCCACTTTGACTACCCCTTATTTTACCTGCTTTGTGGGGGTACTAAGTGTCATTAGGGGCCGCGGACTGCGTTACTTAAAGCAAGGGCCTAAGTGTCAAGGTGTGAAAATGAACACTTTGTTGTTTAGCTTTGGTGTTGCGAGTATGGCCTATGATCTGTACAAGAGTTACAACAATTCAGGAGTTTCATTGCTTGGAGTGAAGAAGAGGGTGAGAGAGGAGATCATTGAGACTACTAACAACAGTGGTGTTGTTACTACGATCAAGAACAGTCAAATTATAACTCGGACTATGAAGCAAGATCGAGTTCGGGAACTTGAGGAGGAGTTAAGGAAGTTGACCGATGCAGCACGCAGCGATGCCACCGCCCGCACGACGTCGAACGTATCGGCTGATGGAGGGAATGAGGAAGTTGTTGGGAATGGAGATGATTCTGTACGAAGGCAATCCAAACGACGTAAATTGTGATATTCTTGTTGTTGTAATAAACAAGTGTTATTCAAACGCACTGTTAAGCGGCTCAGCGGCTGAGTTCACTATCAGGCGCGTGACAAGCGACATGTCTCTGCGAAGTGAGTTCCGCTGCCACACATACGACACAGATCGTATTTCTCGCGTATCTGCATTGCGGCATCTCTATGTTCTTCCGCGCTGAGTGCAACGGAAGTATACTTCCACCCTCTCACCTTTGTGATGCCGTGTTTCTTCATCTGGTGCAAAGTCTCATTCCTTTCCCAAGACTCCAAATCATGCGGTATCGCGGGGGTTTCTGGGGCTATCAATTTTGGGTTACCCCATGATTCGGCGAATGGTCCCTTCAAGTGCTGTCCAATGCGTTTATCCACGTTCTTCGATCTGCCCACGTATACCTGTCCGTTGGGATATAACAAGATGTATACTCCGCTCGTACCGGGGAGGAGTTGAGGATACTCGATGGGCTTTTTGTTTATCTCTTCATCCTCGCTTTCTTCACTCGACTCACTACTTTTGACCTTTTCATCATCCATCTCATCATTACGCTGTTCGTATGAGCCCCATTTACGTGAGAAGCACTCTGGAGCGAATTGCCAAGGGTTCCCAACATTGGAGGCATTCCAGAGTCTCCGGTCCGACTTCTCCTGGTCAGCATAGCACTCGCTGGCAAAGTGTCCGGTTTTTCCGCATTGAAAACATGTTCTTCTATTCGAGGTGACGCTCCATTCTGAGACCGCATAACGGGAATTCGTCCAACACTCCGGGGCAATGTGCCCCCACCTCCCACAGTGATAACACACCACTGAGCTCATGCTGCTCTTCCTGTCCTATGCTTGACTGTCAGTCAAGTTTTTACATTCAAGAGGAAATGAAAAAGAAATAAAAATTTAGTCCGCCCGAAATATTCTCTCGATACAAACAATATTCTTTATAGAAAACCTTTTTAACCTTTATACGACAAAAGGATTCCCTGAGGCAAACTCCACAGAGGCAAACTCCTCAATGTCGGTTGGAAACTCATCGGACAAGCACTCCGATCCCCCCCGCCTCTGCTCGCACTTTGATGCTGTATTCCTGTCAGTGCTGATCTTCCTCCTCTTCCATTGTATCGCATCCACAGAGGCAAACTCCTCAATGTCGGCTGGAAACTCATCGGACAAGCACTCCGATCCCCCACACCTCTGCTCGCACTTTGATGCTGTATTCCTGTTAGTGCTGATCTTCCTCCTCTTCCGTTGTATCGCATCCACAGAGGCAAACTCCTCAATATCGGGTGGAAACTCATCGGACAAGCACAAGAGATCCTCAGCCGCCAACATGCCTCCCGTAGACCCTTCCCAGTGCTTTTTTATTTATTGGAAAAAACCAAACCGTAGCAAACTTTGTTTTTAAAAAACAAAAAATACACAAAGATCAACCAAAGCACGTTTCAGGGCAATGAGAGTTCCTCGGGCATACAGAGCACACGCCTGGCTCACTCTGGTAGTATCCGTAGTTGCATCGACATTGCTCTTTCAAAGAAGATCCAGCTGTCGAGTTTGAGTTCTTAAAGCATGCACTTTTCTGGCTTAGGCTACAGTAATTCCCTGCCTCGCATATAGAGCACTGCTCACTCCCTTGCAATGGATTCTTCAAATATGATCCTTCAGGGCAATATTCACACGCTGTCGACGATGCGTTTGAGTATGTGTGGTTTGCGCACAGTTTCATCACCCCATTCACACAAAAGTAACCAGGAACGCACGCAGCACATTGATCGCTCCCTTGCAATGGGTTTTTCAGATATGACCCATCGGGACACAACGCGCATGATGTCCCCGACATGTTCGAATACATATCAACAGGACACTCCTTGCAAATCAAAGATCCCGCTTCGTCGCTGAAATATGACGGAGTACACGAAGTGCACTCTGACTGTGAGATCGCTCCAGAATAATTCAGCGCATATCCTGCGGGACATGGCACGCATTCCAGTGGACCACTCTTGTAGTACCCACTCGGGCATAATATACACTGGTTACTTGACAGATCCCAAACCCCGTTTGGCATGTCTGAACACGCCGTGTCTGGGATGCATGCGCTCTTCGTATTATCCGTATACCCCAACCCAGTCAACGCGTCTATGTATCCGGGAAGGCACGTGCAACGCGTAGACTGTGGGATCGATACCGAATTCGCCGGACAGTCGTAGCAAAACGGGAGCTCTACCTTAGCAGATTGCAGTACCCCTTTCCATTGCCCATGCTGGTTTCCACCCGAGCATGGCAAGCAATCCGTCGTCAACGTTATATATCTTCCCTTCATGTTGCAAGATATCTCATTCTTCTGGTTAGGCCCTGACCACCTGATACCAGAGGCACATAGTCCGTTGTTGTTGTTACAACAACCCACACACCCCCAGCTCTGTGGGCAAGAGTCTGGTGGCGCGCTTGGGTTGTCCCCAATCAACACTCGTTCCCCTGCTCCCGCAAGATTCCAATACGCCCCATTGTCTATACTCCAGATATTCACTTTAGAAATCTCTCTACTCACCCCAAGGTCTATGATTATGAATGGCGGTGTTCGGCAATCGTAGCACCCAATCGATACCTCTTTCGTCACCAAGCCTGTTGTCGTTGGCTCTTCTAATGCATGCTCACACGAACCCCGAACATCAGTGCTTGACGATCCTGGCCCTGTCCATATTCCCTTTCGTTCAAAACCAGGTGTCATCGCCGACCCAATCCTGCACGTGCTCGAACACAACGATCTCTCGTCATCTCCGCATGAGTACAGCAGGTTGATTTTCTCCCCAGTGTATGAGAAGGTGTTTTTCTGGCATGCGTTCAACGACGCACAATCCGTTGGCAATGACGACCCCGCCAGGGAGAAGTTGTTCGCCGGGCACCCCATAATCATACCATCCTTGCAGTAGCTGTTCGCAGGGCATAGCGTACAAGTGTAATCCCCGTTTGCCGGGTAATACCCATTAATGCACACGCAAGCCGAGATCGAAGAAGACAGCTCTACAGACAGCGAATTCGATGGACACGATTGCATCACACTGTTGTTGCAGTAGCTCCCCACAGGGCACCCCCCGCACCTCGATCCCTCCCCTGCAGTCCCATTCCCTTCCACCCAGTAATATCCCGCCTCGCAAGTGCAGTCGTAGATCGACCACGAGAACTGTCCAGCAAAGGAGTTTGTGGGGCATGCCTTGAGGACCCCCCCAAAGCAGTAGCTGTCCACTGGGCACATCTCACAGGTGAACGGTGCGCTGGGTGTGCTGCCTTCAACACGGTGGTATCCAGCCTCACACACACACTCATCCAACCTGCCGGACCCAACCGCTGAAGAAGATAAGTTCGGACAGTGAACGCATTCCTCTATAGACCCAGCCCCTTCATAATCAAGAAACATGTCCGCAGGACAACTCGAGCACCCACCCAAAAACTTCTTGAATTGTCCGACCGGGCACAGCATGCAGTCTTGCCTCTCAATGTCCCACACTCCATTCGTTACGTTTTGACAAGTCGTATTCGCCACACAGACCCGGTTGTAGTCAGGACTACACGCACGCACCTCGATTTCATCAGAACTGCATGCCCCCGTGCAGTTCGCGCAAACTCTGTCTTGTTTGCCATCGATACCTTTTAACAATCACAGTTAAATACAAAAATAAATCATATTACACTTTACCTCCACATGGCGTTATTGCATAGCTTTCATATCCACACTCAGTACATAAAGAACACACACGGTCCAAGTCATTAACACCACACTCGGAAGTCAGATATTCGAATGAAGTGTTACACTCTTGTCGGCAAGGGCTACAAAATATTCACCACTCTGATTTCAAAACAAACATTCATATCAGTGTTCAATTCATTCGAAATTCTCTTCAAATTTACCCGATATTGCCCTGCAGGCACACTGAAGTCTATTAACCATTGACATCCGTTGTATGAACATGGATAGTAACAATATCTTGTAACGATACATGTATGTTGCCAGTATATCTGTTGAGTGCAAGTAGATTCGTACTTTCTCGCAACAGTAAACGTATACGTCGGCTCAACAAACATTACAACTATCAAAATCACACCCAAACTTCCAAGCATTTCTTTCGACATTTTCTCACACGTTTACACCCCGGCATTCTCAAAATACTTATATACATCACCACACACTATTCTGATCCACACCATAATCATTTCATTCCATAGTAAATAAATAGAATACAAAGAATAATAGAACCAGTCAACAACTGCATCCTTCTGCTTTGTTTCCCTTCTTCTTCCATTTCTATTCTTCTCGATGCTTTCTCTTCCTTTTCTATCCTTCTCAATGATTTCAATGCTTTCTCTTCCTTTTCTATCATTGTCGCTGCTTCATATAACATATTCAATCCCTTCCCGTCAGATCCCTGCGTTTCCTCTTCATCACTTTCTATTTCCTCTTCAACTCCACCACCAACTCCACCTCCAGACCCCTCCACAGATCCCTCCAATAGTAGCTCAGCCTCGTCCCCTCCACTCGCAGCCCTCCCAATCCCCGCCTCATCACTCGTAGAGCACGCTCCGCAGCCTTCTGTCTTGCAATCCTATCCTTCTCTTCTGGTCTGTCGTTAATACCAAACGCCCCAATGAATTCTGACGACCCCTTGAAATCTCTCATCAACCGTTTCACTTCTCCATTCGAACACAACACAACAAAAATTAAAAGCAAACTATCCATGCATAGTCGATACATCCCAACCTTCTGCTCTCTGTTCAACGTTCTGAACAAACCCTCTGAGGTCACACGTCTCTCCAATTTCACCGCGTCACTCTTTTTCCTTGACTTATCACGATTCAAGCCACCCCAATGGATTTTATCGTCAAATGCGTAAACAAATCCCTCATCAATCCCCTCAACTTTCACAGAATAACTTTCATCACCAATCCATTTACCATAGATTGCAGCAACAGTCCCCAAAAGCTCTTTAACACGCTCTCCCCCATCCGTAACATGCCCCATAACAATCTCTAAACAAAACTCCCGGATAATATCAAGGCAAATGCATATAACACTCTTATCTTCATCTGATAACCCTCTCATCTGTTTCTTCAAACGATTCAGCTCACTCTGCGCTTTCAACACAAGAGAACTAGTATCCTCACGGTATCGGTTCTTAATCCAATCACTCATAATTCCACTCTCTCACAAATACAACCTTTCCACACAATCAGTTTATTAATATACCAAAAAGCAATTGATAAAAATCAAACTCCAAAAACACCAAAGCTAAAGTCATCACAAAAATTTTAATTCCGCCGAAAACAACACAGACCTTCATACGCACCTGCCCATTCCCCATAGAACTCAGGAACAAAACCAAGCGTCCGAAAAAGATTATTCAGAGTATGCTGCTCCCCATACTCAATGCCAATCAGCGATGAATCCTTCTCAATCAGATCATTCACCCCAATCCGTTGCCATTCACCACGCTTCAGCAAAATAAGACGGTTCAAAAAAGTCCACCCATAACGCTGATTCACAGTAATCTTCGTAATACCAAGAAATCCATTCAGTTGCAACTTCATCTCACCACCATCCATTATACTCCCTTCCAACACACTCTCGTCACGCTCCAACTCAACCAATCCAAACCATTGGCAAAGCTCCAAAAACATCCAAAAAGTACGGTTCTTGTTCTTCATACGTTGGCTCTTCAAATATCGCTCTCGAAGGAACCGCCGGCTCACTTCATCCATACCAAAAACCTTCAAACTCTGCACTTCATTGAAGTTCTCCAAAATGCTCCGATACGACTTCTTCCAAATAGTCTGCCCTGCTCGAGCTCGCACTTGTTTGCTCCCAACTCCCGAAATACAAACAAGACTCTCAATCACAATCTTATCAGACTCGGAAACCACACTTTCATTCACCACACCCACACCAATCAAACTCTCCGCAAGCTCGCTCATCGCAATCCCACACAAAAAAACCCTTCCCACCTCGAGTCCTTTTATAAACACAAGCTAGGAAAGTCGTTATATGTCCGTTATGAATAACGAACGTTACGGAAGTTACAAAACCGTTAAAAATCAAATACACGTTATTGGTGACAAAATGATTTTTGTAAAGTATATAAAGCAAACACTGTACACACATCAATTTTTCAATGACAACATGAAAAAGAAGAAAAACACACCGATTTTAGTCCATAGCAATGGCAAACAGCTGATGGCTAATATCACCAACGCTATCATTAAAAACGAAAACAAACTCTGCAATTTAGATCATATTTTTCAAAAACAATACAATAAATCAAACATAAAATAATCTAATAGAATAAATCTAAACATAAACAAAAATAAGTTGTTATTGTAATATATAATAAACTTGACATAAACTACATATTCTTATTGTAATATACAACAAAACTAACATAAAATACATGATTTCCCGATATCACACATAAGCAACAAACAAATCTGACAGTCCATCCCGAAAAACACACATAAAACAACAACATTCTCCGATTCGTACTCCAATACATATAAATTATTAACCACACAACACTACCATCATCATGCCCACATCACAATCTGAACAAAATACACAAGCAAAAACCAACAAATCAAAATACAATACTATAATACTATACATACTATTCTTTCTATTCTGGCTAACAGCAATCACTGCTTGGTACTACAAACCAGCACCCATAAATAACATAAACAAAAGAAGACAGGATTCACAGGATAAACTCAATATGCCATTCCTATTACATTGGTTCCTCTCAAACATTATCATCGCAATATTCTTCCTCGCTCTGCCTTTAATTCTATCTCTCTATTCTTCCAAAATAATATCCTTATCAAAATTCCAACTTCTCCTCCCAATAACTGTAACATCATTGGTTGCAATAATGGCCTGGTTGCTCTTCGATCCTTTTACAGATAAAAAATCTTCACAACCATATACACAAAACGAACTACTGATTGTCTCAATCGGTGGTATTTTCATTATCGCTTGTTTCATTTTCATCCTATCATGCATATTACTCTGTACTACACAACAACACTCTGACATACAACAAACTCAAATACAAACAGCCACATCCGAATCTAAATACATCCGTTATCAACCTTTAGTAACATTCCCTCTTGATAAATACCCATACATCCATGCATTTCAATAAAAAATATTCAATTGCTGCACTTTTTACTGTTCTCCTTTTTCAAAAAATCTATTCAAAAATCTGTAACATTTGCTGTTTTCAAGTGCTCAATTTCAACCATTCTCAACGCCTCATTTTTTCCTCTTAAGTTGAAATTTTCATTATCAGTAAACTTCCAAAAATTCACTTAAAGACCACCACGAGAACGTCGAAAAGGACGAATTAACTCCAATTTTAATCACATTTCCGGAATGCGTCAAAACTAGCGTCAAAAGACCTACCAGGGGGGGGGGGTTTTACATATATATAATTTTTTTGAACCGGTTTTGATTAATGACCCTCCATACTCACCAGATTTCCTATGTGGGTCACTAAGTAAAAACCCCAAGGGTCCGACCCTGGCCCTCAAAGCTAGGGGATCCCAAGGCATCTGCCAGGGATAACAGTGGCTTGACTATAACCACTCACACCTGCACATGGCCGATTTCATATATGGGTCACTAAGTAAAAACCCCAAGGGTCCGACCCTGGCCCTCAAAACTAGGGGATCCCAAGGCACCTCCCAGACCGGGATCACATGACGATGACTGGCTATAACCCCTGCCTCCTCTGCATAGGTCCCAGATTTCATATATGGGTCACTAAGTAAAAACCCCAAGGGTCCGACCCTGGCCCTCAAAACTAGGGGATCCCAAGACAAAGGCACCTGCCAGGGATCACATGACGATGGCTGGCTATAACCCCTGCCTCCTCTGCATAGGTCCCAGATTTCATATATGGGTCACTAAGTAAAAACCCCAAGGGTCCGACCCTGACCCTCAAAGCTAGGGGATCCCAAAGCACCTCCCAGACCAAGGCACCTGCCAGGGATCACATGACGATGACTGGCTATAACCCCTGCCTCCTCTGCATAGGTCCCAGATTTCATATATGGGTCACTAAGTAAAAACCCCAAGGGTCCGACCCTGGCCCTCAGAGCTAGGTATACACAATTTTTATCTAATTAGCTAATTCAAATAATCCATTTTTTTAAAAAAAAATTGCTCAGTATAAAACTTTATGATAATCGAAAGAGTCAACCGAGTTGGTACGGGAGGAGGTTGCTTTGAGTCTGGAGCCTATGAAGGAGGTCGGCCTGGAAGGCTTCCTCGTAGCCTATGAGGTAGTGAAGGTAGAGCCACTGCCTCTTCTCGAAGTCCGAGGAGTCCTGGTGAAAGAGGAAGGAATGCTGCATGCGGGAGTAGCTACATGCCCTTGCGCGGCTTGCATGGAGTTCGTCATGCAATTCGAAGAGGCGGTTTGAGTTGAACAAGATACGGGAGTCGTCCGCGCCGTGCTGCGCCGCCTTCTCCTCGACCAGTTGACAGGGGTATATGTCACACGAAAGGTTGAAAGCAAGGAGCGGTGGGTTGATCATGTCAAATGGCTGGGTGTCTAGGTTGGATTTTTCTTTTAATTTTAAAAAAAAACAACACAAAGTTCAAAAAATTAAAAAAACAAAAATCCTATTTTTGGTTTGTTGTGTTGGGAGGGTTGGTAACTTTGTCGATATTGTCGCAGGTATCCATGAGGGTTTTGCTGATTGTTTGCAAGAAGTTTTTCATGTCCTGAGATACTCTTTTTGCTTTTGATTTTTTGTCGATTTCTTCGAGTACCCATTTGATATCTGTTTCGATATGATCGAGAAGCACCTGAAGCGTGCTCATGTATGTGTTGACCTCCGTGTTGTTCATATTAATTTGATTGCTTGTTCTCCGTTCTGTGGTGAAGGCGTGGCCTATCCTGGCTGCAAGAAGGGGGTATGTGATAGGGATGTAATTGAGGGGTCGAGGCCAATCCCTGGTGTCGGTGGTAGCGTACAAAAAGGTACCAAGCCCAGCTCCGAGGGTGGTTGGAGTGAGGTAGCGTGCCATGGTGTGTTTCTGTGGAGGTTCGGTTGGATCAATATATACTTAGATAAGTGACACCCGAGCGGGAAAAAATTGATTGCCAACGATATGTTTTTGAAGAAAGGACTTGTGCATAAAGGACGTCAGATCTACAAAGTTCAACGAGAAAAACAAAAATCATGTTTTTTCGATATCAGCAAGAGTCTCCTTGAGGATTTCGTGTATTGATTGCAAGAAGTTTTTCATATCCTTAGACCCCCACCTTGTATCCAGGATCGGTCACGCCTATACATTGAGGTGTCGAGGCCAATCCTTGGTGTCGGTGGTAGCGGACAAAAAGATACCAAACTCGGTTGGAGTGAGGTAGCGTGCCATGGTGAGTTTCTGTGGAGGTTGGATTGGGTCAATATATACACTTCAATAAGTGAAAGCGAGAACAAATTGATTGCCGACGATAATGTTGTGATTGGAGTGTATATATGTTTTTGAAGCAAAGCCCTGCCACGTGTTGTGAGGATGGAAAATGCACATCAGTTGCAGTACATAAAGAACAGGGATATTGATGATAAGCTGTTAGATGAAGCGTTCAAAAAATTCGAAGAAATCCAAGCACTTGGCTACACAGACGCGGCATTTGACAATAGTCTTGATGATAATGATTGGAGGCAATTATGTATTTGCTTGGATATTTTCTGGCGGTACATGCATGCGTTGGATACAAAGAAGTTTGACAATGGAAATGGGAATATGGAGCAACGGGTGCTTGAGATCTGGGAGAAACACAAACGCCTCTTCACGAGTTTCTACAATTTTTACGCAATGCTCGAAGGGACCTCACCGTCGAAGGCGTTTCATGGGGCAGACTTGCGGAAAAAAGAGAAAGTGAGCATAGAAACCGTGTTGCAAATGAACCGTGATATGTTCTGGGGATGGTTTCCAAATATACAAGGAAATAAGAAAGATCTAACGAAAAAATTCAAGAAAATTCATGAAGCCCCTGTAAAGCCTGACCAAAACTATCTATTCGTTGGGTTGAGTTCAACGAAGAGGGAGGCGTTCGACAAGCTTTACAAGGACACGGCGCTTATGATGTGCATTGTTTTGTGCGAGGATCGTGCTCCAGTATCCAATAGGTCGATGGATTTCGTACAACAGTTTGGTTTGAAGAGTGGTCAACAAGAGGATACCCCCGAGAGTTCGAGTAATGAAATGTCCGATCAAGAAGGCTCGGAACATATTTCCAGTCCGAGTAATGAAATGTCCGATCAAGAAGGCTCGGAACATATTTCCAGTTCGAGTGATGAAATGTCCGATCAAGAAGGCTCGGAACATATTTCCAGTTCGAGCAATAGAATGCCCGATCAAAGAGGCTCGAAACATAGTTCCATTTGGAGTGAAGATGAGGAAGAGGAGGATAATGTTCGCAGCAGCTCAAGCAATGCGATGGGGGTCAATTTGTTGAAGAGGCGGGTTGGCGACCTTGTGTTCTTTCCCCTTGTCTATCCTCTTGTTTCTGCGGGGGTTGGACCGTTTGTATCTAGGAGGCCATGGTATGTCAGACATCCCTTGTATGCGGGGGGGTCTGTGCTGGGAGCTGGAGCGGTGGCGTCGGCGATGCGGCCGTATTTTGGGCGCTACTATCAATTTTATTAGCTACTTTCATGACATAGCTGGAGCGGTGCCATCAGCGATGCCATTTCACCCTTGAAAATCAAGCCCCATGACAGCACGTGAGCGCACAAGCGCCTTGACGAGCTGCACGTGTAAACGCATGATCAAGGGTTCCCATTTCTCTACAGTTGGATTCGTCTCCAAGGTCGGAAGGGACTCCTTGACTCCCTCTATATACCCACGTAAAGTGTTCAAGGACAGAAAATACTCTCCATATGAGGGATTCCACAGGCCCGAGACTGCAGAAACGAGCATTTCAGCCGCATGATTCAGTGCCCTTTTCAGCGACTTGTAATTTTCCTGGCCGAGCTGATGATACCTGGAGTTGAAGAACTGACCCAATAGCAATAACGCAGTAGTGTTCTTCAAGAGAGTTTGCAGTTGATGGACGTGGCTTGATTTGTTCAGTTTGTCAAACGGGACCTTTACCAAGTGATTTACATACTCGAGATCCTCCTCAACGCGGCGAAGGATCACTCGACTCTGACGAAGCCTCTCAATCATGTCGAGGAGGGGTTTCGTTGGTCCCTTCTCCAGAGCACCAACGAAATGGGTGAGCGACTGTATCTCAGCATTCAATAGAGTGTGGTTTTTCAGATCACTTTCCAACGAAAGCCAGAGCGGAACTCCACCTGCTTGAGCGGGGGTCATCTGCTGCGATCTGCAGCGGGCACAGATGAGCATCCGATGTCGGATGTGGATTCGACCCCCTTTTTAATATTTATCTGCTTTTATTGTAGTTGAATTTGTAGCATTAACTACAAGTCTCTTTCAAGACGAGCAATCCCGTCGTTGAGGGATTTCTTCAATTTAGCAAAGGTAACCTCTGCCAGAGCCTCCAACAATCCGAGAGTTTTGATGTAGAGCTTGAACCTTTGTGTGGGGAAAGGGAAACGGTCAGCGTAGAGGTAAAAGTCAGGCGACAGTCACCTTCGAGAGTAGTGCTTATCGATCGATGCCGAGTCTGAGGCCTTTACAAGTTCGCTTTCCAAGTCCTTGTTGATTGCGCTCAACAAGCTCATCCAGCAGCGTGCTTTGGCGAGCACCGCAGCAACCTCCGGGAACTTTATGCATTGAAGGGAGCTTTCCAATGCCACATGGAAGAGTTTCCTCTCGATGCCCGAGAAGGGGATCGAGGGGCCCTCCTTGCAACTGTTTTGAAAAGAGAAAGAGTCATGGAAGGGTTGAAGCAAGAGGGAGGGCTCTCACTCAATCAGGAATTCGCAGGTCTTGTCTGCGAGGGAGACCACGAGTTCGACAAGCGCGGGGCTACGATGTTCTGGCTTGAGGGCCTCCATCACGTGGTTGTAGCCGTCGAGGAACATCGCGGCGTGAGAGTCCTTGAACGGCTCGTGCACGGAGTTGAGGTGCGAGGTCACCTGCTTGAGGACGTTGTCGGAAGTCATCAGCTCCCTGACTTTCTCCGAGTGCTTTGCAAGTGCTGGAATGGCGTAGTACATCTCGGAGTGAATGAACTATTGAGGGTATGGTCAGCGATGGGTAAAGAGGGCAACCCGCTTTACATTGTGGTGGAGACGGAGCTTGGAGAACACGCTGTAAAAGATGTTTTTGGCTTGCTCTGGATCGAGTCCAATGGATTCGTACATCTCGAACGCGTTGAAGACCGGGGCGAGCTCCAACGCGTTGTTTTGCTTCGCGAGCATCACAAAGACTTGGATCTATTCAAGGAGTCAAGCGATAGGATGAGGGGCGATGGTTGAGGGGTACCTGGTCCGCATTGAGCTTCGGGAGGTGCTTTTCCTTGATGATCTGGGACCTTTGGTCTTCGGAGAGGCCAGGGTTGGAGAGATTCACCTGGGTCCTGACGCTGCTCATATACTCGGAATGGACATCTATAAGGGTCAACATGAGATCAACCAGGATCACGAACGTCCCCTTCTTCTCCACTGCCGGCATGCAGTCGATCAGGGTGTAAACACAGAGCTCTTGCTCCTGGATGTGGAACTGCTTGAAGTCGCGCAGGAGGAGCTGTGACAGCACCGCCCCCAGCGCGTTGGTCACCGTCGGGGAGTCCCTGTGCCCGGCGGCGGCGTTGCACACGATCCTGCAAAGGGAAGGACCACGGGGTCACGAAAACTGCAAGGAACACAGAGGTCGCTCACCGGAGGCGCTCGGCGCTGTTGACGCAGTTCGCCCGCAAAATGGAGTTAGTCTTGAAAATCGCCGAGAGAGCAGCCTCCACAACGCTTGCGCTGTCTTTGAACTCGGAGAGAATGTTGAAGCAATCCATGGTCGAGTCTAGGGCAATGTTCTGGATCCCCTGCCCTGCGAGGATGAGCATGGCTTTTTGTTCGCTCTGCAGCCTCTGCAACGGTCCCCCGAGATCATCCGATTCTGAGGAGGTCTCGCGGGAGGTGTTGACCGAGCGAGCGCGCTTCAGTTTTGGCGAGAACAGATCTTCGTGCTGCATTCTGCGTGTTTGTTGGCTGGCAGAGATTTTAAAAAAACCGCGGACAGGCGAATGATTTAAAGGGATTTACTACTGAGCCTAGAAGTATTTATTGGCAACCAGACAGAAAATAAATTAATGACGTGTCTGTTTTAACAGGGGTAGTACCGGTCCGTGTCCAAACAGAGACCCTGTCAGTCACAGGGTACTCAAATTACCCTCTTGGTCATCGGTTTTTTAAAAAAGAGTTTTGTTTGTACCACCGGTACATATTCCAAAGAGATACAGTCCAACGAGGGGTACTCATTACCCACTTTTTCATAAGTATTTTAAAAGGAGGTGGCCATCAATATTTTTAAAAAAGTGTTCTTTTTACCACCGGTACAAAATAGAGATAGATACAGTCAAAAGAGGGGTACTCAAATACCCTCTGGGTCATCAAAATTTTAAAAGGAGGTGGCCATCAATATTTTTAAAAAAGTGTTCTTTTTACCACCGGTACAAAATAGAGATAGATACAGTCAAAAGAGGGGTACTCAAATACCCTCTGGGTCATCAAAATTTTAAAAGGAGGTGGCCATCAATTTTGTAAAAAGAGGGTTGTTTATACCACCGGTACATAATAGAGATAGATACAGCCAAATGAGGGGTACTCAAATCACCCTCTTGGTCATCAAAATTTGAAAAGGAGGAATATATAAAATATTTCTGATCGAAAGTATTTTAAAAAATGAGCACCGTATACTACCGGTATGTCTTCCACTGACATGCAGGCAAACGAGGGGGTCCTCAAATCACCCTCTTGGTCATCATTGTTTTACCTATAAACGACAAACTAAAATAAATTTCAAAATCTAAGAAAGTTTGAAGTCTACAAGCTATGGTATGTACCCCCATCGGGAGCATACCCGCTAAGAGCGAACAAATGAATGTTTCTCTTAACGACCCTCAATAGTCAAAGACTACTGAGGGTGATGATACAAAGGTCTTTGCAGGAATACAGGTCTTGCAGGAAGTGTCCTGAGACTAAGTAATATATTCATGGCTGCATTGACATCCCAGGAACAAATAGGGTCTTGAAACATTTGGTGGAGCAACACCATTTCAACCCCCAACGCTTGATCTTCGTGTATTATGTTTCCCTTTTTGTATTGAATGTATCAAAACATCACATCTTTTTTATTCACTGGGTCAGCTTTCGAATTTGAATATACCCATCACATTTATATCCTTTTTTTCAACAAAAAACATTCACCACTAGGGTACATTACTTATCATAAATTTGATACAATTTTTGCGTTTATGAATCTTGTGATTCCCTGGGGAATCCTTTTGTCGTATAAAGGATAAAAAAAATTTGTCAAAAGAGTTTGTCATGCCTGGAAGACACAACTCGGCTCTCAACCTCGTTCAAACAGAGATCATCTCGCACCAACTTGAGAGCTATGATCAAGGTATCCCTGCAATAACACAATCAAAAGCCTCAAACATTTCCGGCTCTCTCACGGGAGCGGGCTGCGGCAGCCCCGATCGCCGCTGCACCGCCGATGCTGGCACCGGCCATGATGGGATAGCGGATGTAACCGGGCTTCCTCCGAAGAAGAGGATTCAACTGCCAGTGGACCACGGGGTACACGAGGGGGGCATAAAGCAAGTTGCGCCATAGGGAGCTGGGAGGGGGCCGCGATTCCGGGAGGGGGTGGTGTGAGCGGAGGTTGAGGCTCGTTTTTGGAGGCTGGGAGAATCTCTTGGTGTTGATCAGGCAGATCGCCCTTGATGACAGATAAAAGGTGTCTAGCAGCAGCTTGTAGAAGTCCGCAGCCATGTCGTGGGAGACACCGGGTGAAGCTGCGGTCAGAGCATCGGAAAAGTGCCTTTCGCTGGGAAGTGCGGTTCCTGGATTCTGGATGAAGGGGTTGTTTAGATCCCAATAGCGATAACTCTCATCCATCAGCTTGAAGTGCAGTGTGGACTTGTCATTGATCAAAGACAAGGGTCGGAATCTGTGCAGGAGTTTTTTCAGGTCATCTTGATAGAATCGATGATAAGGCTGCACAGCTTCTATCACGTCACGGATTCTCTGCAATACAGAGGATTGATTGATCCGCACGTCCATGTGATGCCTTGCGAGATCCATGTTTTTCCATAGTTGGAGAATCGAGGTACAGAAACTATCCAACTTCTTTGCCGTTTCCTGCAGGGATGCGACGGAGTATGGGTCGTGGGAGGGTTTTGTTTTGTTCGGGATGAGCTCCTCCAGCTCCGTGAAGATCAACCTTTGATACGCAGGTTTGGATGTGGTCCTGTAGCCATCAAAGGACCATTTGTAGCTGTCGTAGCCCTCGTGATTGGTTTTCAAGATATCTTGAAGGTCTTGCGAATATGTTCGTTGGTATGAACGCCACGAGATTTTATCTAACGACTTTATGATCAGTGAGATCAACAGAGCAACTTCTCTGAGGTTGTTGGTGGGGTTGTTCTTCTGGTTGGTTGGATACTCCTCGCCGTAGAAGAAGGTGAGGGATGTCAGAACGTCCTTTTCAGTCTGTTCAGAATTGCCGTAGATGAAAGAGTTGAGGAGACTCTGCCACTGCAAGACCCCCTTTTTCAACTCAGCAGCGTCTGCCTTCAGTGACATCTTCGCAATTGTGGGCGCGATTAGGTTCGCTTCAAAATTTACCCCGAGTACATCGGTGTGGGCCTGCACTACTTGAGCAATGGCTAGGTCCCTCTCCGATCTCGGCTGTACAGAGCGCCTGAAGATTTCAATGGATTCCATGAGTTCTGATCGGATGAGATTGCTTTTCAGCTGTGGGTGTTTGTCGATGAGAGGATCAAGGACTTGGAGCAAGAAGAAAGAGACTATCTTCATCGATACAAGGAAGCTCTCATCGTTCATCAAGTCAAAGACCTCATTCTCGAGCTCATTCAAGGCATCCAGCAGCATATCCTTTCTTTCATACCGGTATCCTGTCTCAAACCAGCGGAAATTGAAACTTGTCAGCCATTCATCGGGTTGGTCAACCATGTTTCTCACGCGTGATCCGTTTTGAAATAAATAGTGAAAAAAACCAAAAGATTCCATCGTTTCGACAGCTTTACTGAAAACAAACAGTACACGAATCTACCCTCAGTTCTCCGCAGCGCTCTCAGTAGCATACTCGTGGTACATAGTCAAGATCTGCTGCAGTGTGATCTGACTGCCAGGATTCAGGACGCAGAACCTGAGCACTGGCTGTGCACGATTGTGCTGGATATCAGCAATCATCCTCGCGCGTTTGGCGGGGGGAGGAACTGCGGCAACGTCGTTGCGAGCGGGGGGAGGGGAGGGGGTTCTCAATCGCTGCATTCAGTCTGGTCCCGAGTTTGCCGCGGCGGTTTTGCCCGGTGATTCTTTTAAAGTAATTTTAAAACATGTTTTAATGTTGTTTTTAAAACTCGTTTTTCAAAAATAGTTTAAAACACATTTTAAAAAATAACCCGTCAGCCATTGAGTTTTTAAAAACACCCACGGATTTTAAAATATTCTGTTCTTTCTGGTGCTGAGAACGCCATGCAACACGAGAGAGAGCTAGGGAAGCGGAGGCGGGGCGAGGAGGGCACCGCAGCCGAAGACACTCACAACTCATGCAACGGCATCCTTCGAGAGGTGGTTGATCTGAAGGACAGAGAGAAGCTGGGCACCGCAGCCGAAGACGCTCGCAACTCGTACAACGACATCCTTCGAGAGGTGGTTGATCTGAAGGACAAAGAGAAGCTGGGCACCGGGGGACGAGACAGGCTCTTCAAGATTGTGCGGAGCAACCTCGCGAGCTGGAGGATTGTCAAGATCGGGGTGAAGGCGCTTCACTCGCACCTATCCGAGGACGGTCTCTTCAGCGCGGCAGATGAGCTGCGCGGCAGCGAGATGTACGGGGCACTCAAGCAGGTGTGGGCGAGCTACCTGGGCGTCCCCGAGAGCGGACTCAGCACCAAGGAGAGATCTTCTCTGCTGTCCATGCTCTTGAAGTTGATCATGGGGGTGCTTAAGGACAGGAAGGCGAGGTCGGAGTGCCTTGATCTGGAGGAGAATCAATTTCTCATCTGCGCCTCTTTGGAGTACATATCGGTCTGCCGCCCATTCCCCAGGGGCGTGGCCGGGGTGCTTGCCTTTCTGGATCAGCTGGCCGGGGACCGCTCCCTGGTGGTTGGCAACCGGGACATCTCGTATCTCAACAGGCGGCTGGTCGAGCACTTCATGCGCTTGGTTCAGGTCTACCGCGGGAAGGGTGGCGTCCTGTTGAAGCTGTTTTGGCTGATGGATGATCTCTCGCTGTTTGCGGAGAGCAGCGCGCTGCTTCTTAAGTCTGGGAGGTATGTGCTCGAGATCATGGAGAATCCGGATGATTCCATTTTGTTCTCCACGTTGCACAAGGAGTTCGCGAAACTCTGCGCACGAAGCTCTGAGTTCCGGGATTTGATGTTCGATGAAGGGCGCTTGAAGTCAGTGGGCACGCTTCTGGAGAATGACAAAGACAAGGGCGGGATGTTGTCCCTTTACCAGTTTCTGATCTACTGGAAGTTCCTCTCGAGCTTGGATGACATGCAGCTCATGTTCGACACATATAGGGGGTTGAACGATTTCTTAGTTGGCCTTGTCCGCCGTTCGGTGCTTTGCATTCTCTCCCAGGAAAGCCAGGGCGTGATGTCGACGTTTGGGGTCACGTTCAGCTTTGGCAATTTCCTGATGGAGGCTGAGTCATACCTCGCGCGATCCCCGGAGGCCTGCAGGAAGCTTCACGTTGTGTTTCCGTACACCTCTCTTTTTTCCGCCATGGAGTGCCTCCCCCTTGCTGTCAATGAGGAGCTCAAGGAGGAGCTCAAGAGCTCGGGTTCGGATGAAATCCTCATCCGGGTCCATGTTGGCCTGTTGAAACTCGGCAAGATGGTGCTCTCAGAGATGCGGCAGCTGGATATCAATCGGGCTGTGGCCCTCGATGCGAGCGTCCAATGGCTCCTGTGGTGTTGTGACAGCGGGATCAGCGTCTGTGCCGTGTTGCAGAAACTCGTTACAACTCGCCGGGCCAAGGAGAGCCTCGAGAGGGCTCTCCTCCAGAAGACCAAGGACTGGGTCAAGGAGAGAAATGACAATGACAAGAACAAGAAGGAGTTCTTCGAACAGCGGATGGATCTGTTGGATCAGATCCAGGATGCGAACCGTTCGATCGTGAAATGCTGCAAGTGCGGCCGGGTAATTCAGTGCTTTCCCCTGTTTTGTGCTGCTGTGCGTCTCACGTCTTCGTTTTGTGCTGCACGTCTTCGTTTTTGCTGCCCTGTTTTGTGCTGCTGTGCGTCTCACGTCTTCGTTTTGTGCTGCACGTCTTCGTTTTGTGCTGCCCTGTTTTGTGCTGCCCTGTTTTGTGCTGCTGTGCGTCTCACGTCTTCGTTTTGTGCTGCACGTCTTCGTTTTGTGCTGCCCTGTTTTGTGCTGCCCTGTTTTGTGCTGCTGTGCGTCTCACGTCTTCGTCTCCTTAGGGTTGCTCGAAGATTGTCCTGGCCTGCGGCCATGCCGTCACGTGCGAGACCTGTGAATTGAACTTGGACATTCACAAGTGCTGCCCTTATTGCGGTGGAAACATCGATGCGATCAAGAGGTGATGCATCTGCAGGGCTGTGGGGGGAGGTGTGACTCTGATCTGTGATCTAGGATCTTCATCAAGGCAAAGGAGGATTGAATGAGGTGCTTCTGCAGGGGGCTGTGGGTGATAGAGAGGATAAATAAGGAACACCAGCATTTGCTCAGACAAGTATATATGTGTCCCAAGCATAAAGCATAAAGCTCATCGCAAAGGATGTCTCTTGTGCCGATGTCAACGCATCCTTCCTTCTGTCCCAGAGCCGACCCTCTGGGCATCCCTGCCATCCGTCCAATGGTTGATTTTTCTGGTCGTGGAGTGGGCAATGCCATGACCCCGCTGCCCCCCTTGGATTTGCCGACACCTGTCATGGGAATGCACAAGAATGAAACCCCCCGTTTTGTTCCATCGGGGGGGCTCCCGGAGAATGCCCCCGCTGTCTGGAGGAGCAGCGCCCCGGCTCTGATGCAGCCCCCTGTGTGGGGGGGCAACACCCCCGCTCTCATGCAGCCCGCTCTCATGCAGCCCCCTGTGTGGGGGGGCAACGCCCCCGCTCTCATGCAGCCCGCTCTCATGCAGCCCCTGGGCCTCCCGGAGAATGCCCCCGCTCTGATTCAGCCCGTGGGGCTCCCAGGCAATGCCCCCGCTGTCTGGAGGAGCAACGCCCCCGCTCTCATGCAGCCCCTGGGGCTCCCGGAGAATGCCCCCGCTCTGATTCAGCCCGTGGGGCTCCCAGGCAATGCCCCCGCTGTCTGGAGGAGCAATGCCCCCGCTCTCATGCAGCCCCCTCTGATGCAGCCCCCTCTGGTGCAGCCCGCTTTTGACGCTGGATTAGTAACGGATCCCTTGCAGGCAGCGTTTGACCCGTTGAATATTGCTGACGCATCCTCCGAATCCTCCACATCCTCCGAGTCCTCCACATCCTCCGAGTCCTCCGCATCCTCCGAGTCCTCCGAGCATTCCGATGCTTCTGATGGAGAACCAAGTGATGCGCTCCCAACCAAGAGAAGACGTAAACGGAGTCAAAGGGATGTTTTGAATCCGGGCGGAAATCTGAGTCAGGCCAATCAGAAGCGGGACACGAATGACTTGAACTTGTTGAAGAAAGTCCTCAATAGCCAGGATGTCAATGAAATGGAGGAAATCTCAATCAGAGCAAAAACCATACTCAGTCTTTTGAGGGAATACGTCAGAAGAGGCGAAGATGGCAGCGGGAGGAGGGCTGTAGATTACGTCAAAGCGCTCATGTTGGGGAAGAAAGGGGAGGGCTTTGACTCGCTCTTCATTTACGCCCTTGTGGGCGTCTTTGTGTTTCGATGCATGCTTGAGGAGAGTCAAATCTTCCCCGGGACGAGTATTTGCAGCGGGATAGGGAAACGTAACGCTTTGGAGGTCTTGAAATTGATCGAGGAAAACCCGGTTTTCGTTTGGGGTCACGAGACTAAGTTCAAGAGTCTTCTAGAGTTGACCAGAGACCTTGCCCAAGTCATTAGTGATCTGTTGAAGTTCCGTCTCCCGGCGGTGGACGGGGATGTTGTCGAGGCCAAGAAGCAGTCTAGAAAACTGGTGGAAGCTAAGGAGAAGGATTGGGAGATCCAAATGTTATCCATGAAGCATTCCATAGAAAAGCTTGCTTTGAGGAGCGGAAAGGGAGTCATGCAATGGAATCGCTGGAACTATTCTGTGCCGGGGCATATGAACATCCCTGTCTGGAGGTGATCGGGTTTTTTTTAAAAAAGATTGCTTCTTTTTTATTTTCCCCCTAACCTTTATACGTCAAAAGGATTCCACAAGGAATTCCAAATTCCAAATCACAAATTCGTCTCCTAAACTCGTGGTGAGTATTGTACCTCCAGTGGTAATATTTTCTTGGGGTTGGTTTTATTTTCTTGAAAAAAAATATAAAAGGTGATGAATACGACAAACTCAAAAGCTGAGTCAGCGAACCAAAACATGTCTTGATTCATGCCGAGGAAACGAAAAGAACCACTCAACGATTCGACATCTGAGCGTGTTGAAAAGTACAACACATTCAAATGTTGTCTTGTGAAACACTTGAAAGAAAAGAGACTTTTCCCTGTCATTGAAGAATGGGTCAGGCATATTAGTCAGATCATGCATCGTGGTAGCCTCATTTTCAATCATTTTTTGATCTGGTGCCTTGAACGAGGGTATACTCCGGAATTGAAGGATCAATCGTTTTTTTACAGGTGTTTTCTTCTTGGAACTAACGAGAGAAAAGATATCAAACTTAGAGAGCCAAAAGATGGTAAAAAAGACAAAAGACAACAACAACAGGGTTATCGCGATCTGTTACGTTCGTTCTGGGAGGAAAAACATTCGACTTATGATGAATATCAAATCAATCGCATCAAAGGAGACTGGCAAGCAATAATGTATGCAATACATCAATACATGACAAATCTCAAGATGTATTTGGCATATACCATCAATTCAAGGCAACTCCGATACATCAATGAATGGACTGAATCACAAAGGAGTAAATTCGACATGCCAAACTCTGAATGGAAAGACTTTCAACGCACTATCCGTTGTGCTATCAATGGGTGGGAATTCCCACCGTTAAGCTGTCTTGGGCAAGAAGATGTATCGCTATTCATACAAGAACAGAGACTTATTTTGGGATTACAGATGAATCAATTCGTATCATTCAATCAGGCTCATCTCAAGTCATATCCTCGGTGGTATGAAACTCATCAGAATGAGCTACTTCGGTATCAATACATGATGCTGTCTTTTTTTGAGGAGCAAGGGACCAAAACATATTCATTGGCTCCGGTTTGTTCAATCAAGAGTCATTTCATCAACATTGATAAGACAATACTACCGTATATGTTGAAAAAGCTTGATTTGACAGTCATTGAAATGGATGAAATTCAAATGAAAGATGCATTCAAATGTGAAAGATATGAAAAGAATGGGAAAAAGTTGAAACGAGTCCAAACAGATGGGGTCGCGCTTTGTTTCCATTTCGTAAAGGAAGAGATTAGAGAAAAACAAGACCAGCCTAAGAAAAAGAAGGCCAAGTATGGGAAACAATGCTGTCAGAGCGATGAAAAGAAAGCAGAACATGATGAAGAACAGGTCGTTCGAAAACAAAATCTTCGAGGAGGGAGAGTGATTGCGATTGATCCTGGTCGAACTGTCTTGATTTGTGGTATTGAAGACGGTGCCGATAAAAAATTCCGCTTCAGTCGAAATCAATACTATCAGGAATCTCACATAAAGAGGAATGAGCGGAGGTCAAGAAAATGGGGCATTGAGATACAAGAAATCAATAATAGATTGAGTAACGCTTCTTTGAAAACATGCAAAATGGATGTCTTTGAGCACAATATCCGGGTTGTCTTGGATGTCAGAACAAAATGTTTCGAACATCATTGCAAACGAAGAGAGGCTCTACTCAGAATGGATAACTTCATTCACAAAAACAGAGTCGTTGATCGTTTTCTGAACACAATGCAAACAAAGGATCAGGAAGAACCAACACTTGCGTATGGTGATGGTTCGTTCAATTCAACGGGGAGGGGAGAGAAGATGGCACCCGTGAAGTGGATCAAGGAAAAATGTAAAAAACGGTTCAAAAGGTTTGTTGAGATCGATGAGCATTTCACAACAGCAAAATGCAATCGTTGTGGAGAAAGACTATATGATTTTAGGCGACACTCAATGCGAAGAAAAGGGATACACAACACGCGAAAAACGTGTGTTCGAGGATTGAAATGGTGTTCTTCCACCAGATGTTTCAAGTCTCCATTTGTATCCCGGGACGTCAATGCAACCATGAATATTCTACTTTGTTTCAAGTCACTTCCTCAAAGACCTGGATTTCTGCAAAGACCTCTGTATCATCGCCCTCAATAGTCACTGACTATTGGGGGTCATCAAGAGAAACGGTGGGACCCCACCTTCCCCCTCCGTGGGGGTGGGATCCCACCTTCCCTAATGACTTATTAAAAAGGGTAACCACCTATCACTAATCAGTACCCCTCTCAGACTCTGCAGGGTCGCTCGGAGTATCCGATAGTACCCCTGTGTGATACTATTTTTTGGACCCCACCGTCCAGATCTCCCGTACCTACCCCTCAGATCAAGTTACTGAGTATGTTAACTCAATAACAATGTACCCACCCACATCGACCTCCATAAATGGGCACGCCCCCGGTGGTAAAAACGGGAACCAGTGACCCAGGGCTACCCTACCACTTCCCTCCTACCCCTACCCCTGTTCACTGATGGTACACTTTCGAAATCCAAGGGTGCTTCTTCCGGTCCTCCGGTGAAAAACATTGTCAGTGGAGACTATGAATTCCTAGGACCTGATCTCATACCTTCTAGGCGTTCCGTCTGCACAGAAGTGTACCACCCCCACCCACTCGCATCTCGGTCAATCTAGAACCCCTACCCCTTCGAACAGCTCTTGAACACAAACACGTCCCCCGGGTGGTCCATGGCACAAAGCGGGGATAAGGAATTGGGGAGAATCGTATGCAACGATGTCGGTGGAACAATGGCGGGAGAGTCTGGAGAGGACTATGAAGTCTATTGGAAGGGGATGGAGAGTACAGATGGTTACGGACGGAAGAGAGGATGGATGGGTTCACATAAATGGGTGAAGGAACAGGCCAGTAATAATCCAGAAAGCTTCAGTTCGTTAGAAAGAAGCATTATGGAAAATGAGATGTTTGATGATTGCCTGGAAGTGATTGGAGGAGAGAATCTGTTGATTTGATAATTGTTGATGCATGCAGAATGAGTTGACTAACTCATTCTTTCATATTCCCCTTGTCCGTCAAAAATGATTTTTGGTTGTTTTTCTCCGCAGCCTGCAAACTGATGGATTTGTTCGTTCAGACTCGTACTCGCACATTACAGAATTGCCAAGATTCATCCCACAGAGCCTTCAGACGAAGTGAGGGACATCATGTCGCAAAACACTCGGTTGTATCCGAATGCAGACGACTCCTCAAGTTCACCTACTGGAACAAAATCAGGGTGAGACTGCCACTCGGCACTTTTCACGATTCACTGAGCACTTAATAGGAATTCTTACGACGAAGAAGTCATGGCCGGATCCGACAATCCAACGGACTTTGACTTGTCGTATGCCGTGAAGGCGTCGTCAGAGAAGCTTCCGGTGGCGGAAGCAACACTGCTGTATGCAGACACCTCGCCATCGGACCTCAAAACTCCGTCTGGGGCTGACCCCGATGAGATTCCTCAAGCGTTCACCATGAATGAAAAGTTCAACTCAGGCTCGGTGCATGATTGATGTTAGGTTGGTTCAATGGCTTACACTTGTTTTGCAGAGGAGGTCCAGCATGACGGCCGAAGGAGAAGACTGGGATAACGTTCACGGGTACTTGTCGTCTCTGTCTCATCCATGCATTCTGACATTCTATCAAGAATCACTGGAAGGCTCGTTAGATTTGCACATGATCACTACTACTTGACCTTCCTGTAATGATTATGATCAAATCTTGACGCGCACGTTCATTACATGCGCAGGATCTTCCTTGTTTTTGTCATAGTAACTTCAGCTGTTATTTTCATTGCCCCAACGGACCCTCGGTGTGCACAGTCTGGGCCACAATTCACGGTCATTCTCGAACGTTTGGCATGGCTGCTCGTGTTTTGACGATTAGCACAGGTATGCAAGCAGTCCAATCATGACTGGGAGGTGAGCTACTCGATGGTATCCAGATACAAAGATGCTGTAAATCAGGTGAGGTTTAGTTGTGATGGCCTCTCTTGAGCCATTGTCCTCTACGTTGAAATCAATCTTTGCAACTCATATCACTGCAGTTGATGAACCGAGGAGCTGTCAATTACAACTTTCTTCTTGGAGCAAGTGCGATCTCAAAGGTGCAGGCCTTCTCCTTAGTTCACCTCTAAGATGCGCTGATACTTCTTTGCAGACAAAAGCGCTGTCGCAGCCATCAGAGGATGCGGCATTGACTCTGTTGTATTACTGGAAAGATGCCGTTGTGAAGCAGAATGTCAATATTTTTACACCAACTACTGTCAAAGACATGTGCGAAATTCAGAGATTGTTTGTGAGCCATCCCTTCTACCCAAAGCTATGTCAAAGATCAAATGGCAACTGTGTACAACCTTACAGTGTGGTACAGCAGTTCTACAAGGTTGTCCACTGGTTTGCGTGTTGCAATTTGTTACTGAAATTTTATGCTTGACAGGCAGGAGGAGATTGCACGTTACTGACAGACAGTGAAGTCCAGCAGAAGGCGAAGGATCTCCTCAATCCTGCAAACCCTCTACTGGGATTCTTTGTATCGTCTGAGGCAGGATCGAAAGGCTTCACCAACACCACTCGTGCTCTCTTGTCTCTTGGTGCACCCCTGCCGGGCTTCAAGGATGCGGCTGAGGACAAGGATGTACAGCAAAACATCTATCAGAGCGTCTTCTTTGAAGACTTTACATGTCCTGTACCAAAATGGTTGAAAGATACGAAGTTTCTGAACCCAGACTTCTGCAATGGAAGAAAAGATGGTGAGGTCATCAAAGGACTGGAATCTCAATTGTTCGAGAAGTTCAACATGGAAGGATTCCCCAAATCGGGCCAGTACAAGGGAGCATTCAGGTCTCCGTACCTCGGTGCTTCACCTCATGAGGAGATCTCTTCTTCTGAAGTGATGGAAGTCCGTTGGTATTCCAACATCATTCAAACGATGGAATTTGCAAGGGTAGTGAACGGAGATTTGAATTTTGCTATCCTCTCCATCTCCGTTGTGTACCTATACATTGCGTATCATACGAAATCTTTCTTCTTAGCCTCTATGTTCATGTTTCAGATTATTATCTCACTTCCTGTTGGTTATTTCGTATACTACAACATTGGACAGATCCATTTCTATTCTCAAGTGAATATTCTTGCAATTTATTTGGCCTTGGGCATTGGAGCAGATAGTGTCTTCGTGCTGTACGATTGCTGGCAACAGAGTGAAACAGATCCAAGTATAAAAACAACCTTGGGAAGGCTGAACTACAGTCATAACAGGACGATGATTGCTTGTTTCAACACGACTTCTAGTACAGTAATGTCCTTTGTTGCCACGGCAATCACACCAGTAATGCCCATCGAATGCTTTGCGATATTCGCATCCTTGGTTTTGATCATGAACTACATTTTCATGGTCACTGTTGCGCCAGCAATCATTATGATATACTACGTTCACTTCGAGGACCTCGGGGGCTTCTGCTGCTACTGCTCACGCTCGTGCACGGGTCGCTGCGGACCAAAGGAACCTGGAGTCACGACACACCTGTCAAAGCTGCGCGAGAAAGATGCTTTGTACCGTTGCAGCTGTTATGCAAAGGTGGAGAGCGATACCGTGGAAAACGGAAATCCCTCAGAAGCTTTCAACGAACGAGAACTTCGTGCTGCCGAGCGATTTTTCAGTGACCATTTTTCGAAGCTCATCATTGGCTTTGATCTTCAGCCAGGGAAATACAAGCCTCTGGCATACTTCTTTCTCGCAGCTATCACCGGTTACTCGATATACATGGCAACCCAAGCATTCCAGCTGACTCCACCCAAGGCTCAGGAAGAATGGTTCCCACCGAATCACATGTTCAACAAAGAACTGATGAGCAGACTTGCGCATAATTGGAAGGCTGGTGCCAACTCAGATTACATGGAAATTGTCGTCGTTTTTGGTGTGGAAACAGTAGATCGAAGCAACTTCAGCGCATTTTATCCTGCGTACAATCGTGGAGGGGTGAGTCTTGTAGTTCCACTTTTTCAATCTGACCCTTCACACCTAGGTTGTCTTTGACAAGGAATTCGATTTCTCGTCCAAGGACTCACAAAAATTCTTCCTCCGAGTCTGCAAGGAAATTGAAACGTTGAAATGCGGAAAGGGCGGCTGTGGTTCCAACATGCTGCGGCAAGGCCAATCACCATACTGCGTCTTTCAGGATATGTTGAAATTCTACAACAACGAAACAAAATCAAATGTGGAATATTTCCCCTCGAAGAAGGAGATGATCGATACCTACACCAAGATGGCGCAAGCAAATTCCGACAAAAACAATCCTGATAAGTATCTTGAATATTCGATGGGAATCGAACAAGGCACGAATGGCTTGGAAATTAAGTGGGCGATGATACCGTTCATGTCTTCCATCCTCAGCCCGCTGCCAAACGCAGAAGCTCACGACATCTACTCGGTGTTGGAGAAGTGGATCGAAGGCCTTCGCAAGGATGCTCCTGCTGGCATGAAGACTGTCTTCCAGACGGATACTCAAGTTGCCGCGCTAGGCTGGACCTGGATGAAGGTTGAGGATGCGCTGGTGTACAACCTGCTGCAAGGGTTCGCCATGTGCTTCCCCGTCGTTTTCGTTATCTTGATCTTTGCTACTGGGAACGTCATAATCTCCTTCTACTCCATCGTCACCATCGCCTTCATCGTCGTGGGTGTGCTCGGCTCTGCCAAGGGCTACGCGGGATGGAGTCTGGGAGTGGCAGAGTCGATCGCAGGCGTCATCGTCATCGGTTTCTCTGTTGACTACACGGTCCATCTCGGCCACATGTACAAGGAGGCGCGATCTTGCCACACCAAGGAGGAGAAGATCCGTTACGCGCTAACTTACATGGGCACGACAGTGGTGGGAGGAGGCATGACGACTCTGTTGGCGGGACTCATGCTGTACCTGTGCACGCTGACCTTCTTCACTAAGATGGCTTCTCTGCTCGTGTGGACCATCCTTTACTCCACCTTCTACTCCCTCTTCTTCTTCACCAGCCTCTGCGCTGTGGCTGGTCCTGTGGGCTCTTTCGGGTCGATCGAAGTTTGTACCGACTTCGTCAAGAGGAAGTTGAGGGGTAGGGGAAGTTGAGCGGAGCGAGTCTTGTTGTCTAAGTTGTGTATAAAGCTGAATGAGAAGGGGAGGCCGCCTTGTTCTTGTACAGATGTTTCACTCGGTACAGGTTGAGGAAGACAGGTCGGTAGAAGCGAAACTGACCGAGGGAAGTCCTTCTTCCTCCTCCTCTCCCCTCGTCCTGCCACCTCCCACCTGCCTTCCCAGCTGCGAGTCAGATTTGCCCAGCAGCTCCGCAACATCACAAGACAACCCGAGAGCTGTAAATCTGCATCCATGTTAGCAAGGCCTGACCTGGGGATGGTTGTTTACCCCCTTCGAAGATTCTCTGCGATCAGCTGCGCGTTCAGGCTCGAGCTCGATCCCTCCAGCCTTGTAGGAGAATGACGATCACCGACCTCTCCCTCCTCCTCCTCCTCCGCCGCCTCCTCCTTGCCCTTGGAGTGCGAGGTTGTCTCCATATTTGCCCCTCCTCGAGGAGGCAGCGGAGGTCTTCTCTGCGCCTGGTTGAGGTCGCTGGCGCCTCCTGCCGCCTTGTCAGCACTTCACCACCTGAGAAACTTCCCTACGGTTACTGAGGTGTAGCTGTAGCACAGAAGCTGATGAGATGAGACTCTTCGCTCGCAGCAGGAGCTGATCCTCCTCCTCCCCCTCCTCCTCCTCTCGTCCACTTAGAGGCGGAGGGTGTGGTGAAGAATACGCAAGGAGAGGAGGAGATATGGTTTCCACTAGCTCCTGCCTGTGCCCGTGCCCCTTCTCTTCCTCATCCCAGGCTGAGGAAAGGACAAGTTCGCGTGATTGATCGTCGAGCTCCTACGTCAGCCATGAGAGGCGAATGAGAAGGAGAGGCAGGAGACCGAAAGGATACGGCGCGAGGGCGAGCTAAGACCCAGCTCAACAGCTCCCCTGCCATGGCCGTTAGTGTGTTACGTGACGGAGAGACCTGACCTTGCGGCGCGAGCTCTCAGCATGTCGATACTCCTCTCCATGTCCGTCAGCTGCTCTCGCAGCAGCCGTGACCCGAAGCTTCCGGAGTCACTGGAGCACGAGGGCAGCTCGAAGGCAGCAGTAGGCAGAGAAGGAGGGGAGGAAGGCGCCTGCTCCAGCTTCTCTCCCTCCTCCCTCCCCCCTCCCGAGCTCGTATGTGTCGCTTCCTCGACCACGTGACTTGTCCTATCGCCCCCGCTCTTGTCTGCCTCGGGCGATATGCACTGAAGAACCAACCTGACGAGACCGCGTCAGCCTCCCTCCGGCAGCCGGTCATGACACCTGATGTGCTGTAGCACAGGCTCTAACGGGTTTTTGCCGACGCTGTAGGAGGAACTGAGGGAGAGCCTGAGGGGGCGAGTCAAGGGAGGCTGAGCGAGTTCTCTGGTCACGTGACAGATGCTTGATCCTGTGAGGCCCCGACCCATTCCCTCCTGCTCCACTTGTTCGATAGCTGCACAACAACTTCAGCATCGTTGAGTATCGCCCTGGCGCAAGCCCTGCCCACCTTCAAGTCCTGAGAGTCTCTCGTGCGGGAGGACAAGCAACTTGAGTTGTGAGTGCTTGCACGCTCCTCGTCGACCTTGGAGCCCGACAGCTGACTCAACAGCGAGTTGTGAACGTCCTGAAACAAGCGCTTGTTGAAATGATCAGATGGCCTTGACGCCTGCAGACGGTAAGACGAGGAAGGAAGCGCGATGAAGGAGCACCGTGAGGCTTTCGTCGGGGTCGATGGAGTCTTCCAAATGAGTTGAGATGTAAGAATCGAGCTTTTCAGGTGGTCGTCAGACTTTAGCTTCAACAGGCTACATCTACACCTCAGCTGTGAACGAATGCTCTGTTAAGTTTAGTTCGCCGCTCCTTGGATGTTCTGGTCATGTTCATCAGCAGCATGGGGGATGTTTGCAGTTCATTGCCTGGCTGTGAATGAGGGGCAGGAGGAGGCGACGGCTGTGGTTGACGATCAAATTCTGAAGAGCACTCTCTTTGGAGGACATGAATGTTCATGTTCTCCTGGTATGAGAAAATAATTCCTCGAAAGTCCTTCCAAACGTTATCAGCAACCATCAGGAGGTGGGGAGGGAGGGATATCAGGGAATCACACCCGATCTGTGCTGCTCACCCTTTCTCTCGAATGTTATTACGTTCCTGCATCACATATCGTGGTCTAAATGGTGTACGTGCTCATCCTCTCGCCACCATCCTCGCCCTCGTCTACCTGCCCCTGTCCTGCCCCTCTCATCCTTGTGTCCATGCCGCTGAATCGCTTTCAAAATTTGAAAAACACCATATCACAGAGTTTACACGCCACGGCACTCCAGTGGACAATCGGATGATTGGCGCCGGGGGGGCCGCGCCTCCGACACTCAGGCTGTCAGTCAGTGTTCACGGGCCGGGGCCGGGGCCGACCGTACCGCCGGCGCCCGGCCCAGGTTCCGGGCCGCCTTCCGAGTTTACCGTCAATGTTCAGTACGGTCCTGAGCCTACGAAGAACTTAGGATACTACTGATGAGCCAGGCCCCCGGCCGCCCTGAAGGCTTAGATCATCGGCCGGTTAGTTTTCGGACAGTGACGGTGAAATTTGTATGCAACCTCGGCCGCTGCAATCATGCGGCCGCCGCGTCGGAGAGTCGCCGGTCGGAGCCTAGTACGGTCCCGAGTCGGACGGTCGTCACTAACTTTGAGTCACGAACGGAAAGAATGAGGAGACAGGCTCGGCGGACTCGCCGGGAGATCCGAAGTTACTCACCATACTGAAAGTCAAACAGCGGCGGCTTCGTATCAATATAGTAGCGGTCAGTAGCCTTTTCTCTCAGACACTGAGTTCTCGCCGTACGGTACCGTGCCGGGCCAACCCGGCGTATGCGGCCTGTGACGGTCACCGGGTGCGACAGTGTACGGTCCGAGTCAGACTCGAGAGTGAGAGTCTTCAAGTGCCTCGGAGTCCTGCCATGCCATCAGTGATTGCACTGAGTCATCGCCGGGAAGCGTAAACTTCGAAAGTTCAATGCGAGGCTACCGGCGTACTGCGGCACGGTGAACTGACCGCGCGTTGCCGGCACTGCCGCCGGGCAGCCTCAGTGTGTGGCGCCGGCACTGCCGTGGGCCCGTGGGGCCTCGGATTGCAAGTGTTGCATACAAATTTCACTCAAAACTAATTTCATGGGGTAATGATTTTAAATAGGAAGTAGTCAGTAGCCTCAGCTGGTACTAGCTGCCGGTTGAAAGTCTGATACTAATTTTATAATAGAACAGTACCAATGATCCTGATGTGGTACTGTCAGCTTCCCGTAGCCCTTCTTTTCACTACCCTACCCCTCCAATATAGTCGAGTTTGATCGACGACCCACCTTGGGGATTCCCATGTTTTAGGGGTACGAATGCCTTCTTTTTTGGAAACGGATGGGACCACCAACCCCACCCTGACCTTTGGAGGTCGATGTACATACCCACCCCTAGCTTACCTACTTGGTTTCATAGGTAAATGTGAGGTAGGGGTCAGGGCAGAGGTTAGGGTCGGGTGTCCGTTGTATCCGCTCTTATCCGCCGTCCAATGCAGGAGAGGAACTAGTCACTGCCTTCTTGCAGCAGACAGCTTCTCCTCCTTTCCTTTCTCTCTTTGCTCTGATCCTTGATAGAAGTAATTTGACATATCCTGTTTCTTCACATCTCGTGTATCTTGGGTGCTCAAAGTCTCGTTGTTTGTAACTCAGGAGGGACAGATCATGGCCGTGAAGTAATGTTTCCCAGCTTTTTTGCTTGAAAGTTGTGAGGTTTTACACAATTATTATGAAGTGCTACATCAAGCTCAATGTTCTCCTTGTGCTGCTAGCGCTTTGCCTCCCGACTGGATCAGGCGAAGCAACAGATGCAGCAAATTCGGAAGCGACAGGGAATGGGCTTCAGTTTGCGACAGCTGGTATTCTCGCACAGTTTACAGTTACATCAAAGGACGAGTCTGGCGTGCGACGAACTTCTGGAGGTGATGAATGGATAGTAGAATTTGCTGGTACAAGGTCTCTTACAGGGTCGGTTGTGGACAATTTGGATGGTACATACCAAGTGTCATATACAGCAACGAAATCTGGTAGTTATGAAGTAAGCGTCTTGCTGGCCAAGTCTGGAGGTCTTACAGGATCATACTTTGAGAATGTTTGGTTCTTCTATACTCCTGTACAGGTTACTGTTGACCCTCAAATCAACATGGACTGGGGTCTTGGCCGCATCACGCCGACTGGATCAAACTACATTGCAATTCGATGGTAAGCTGATTTCTCATTAATCAAATTCCCGGACTGATTTTGATTTCTTTTCAGGGTGGGAAAGTTGAAAACCCTGTACACCGAAACCTACACATTTTATGCGACCACAGATGACGGAGCGAGGTTGTGGGTTGATAATGTTCCTCTGATCGATAGGTGGGATTCGTATTGCAACGAAACATCTGCAACTTTAGCATTGAGTGCAAACGTGTTCTATGACTTCAAGATGGAATACAAGCAAATCACTGGTTCAGCTTTTGCAAGGTTGACATGGGCATCGAAATCCACCCCGCGAGAAGTAATCCCTTCCAGTCAATTTTATTATGAAACTCAGGCCAAACAGTCTCCATTCTCACTGATTGTGATGCCAAACGTTGCAAACGGGTCTCAATCCACAGCTGTGGGATCAGGACTTTTGGTTGCTACAGCTGGTACTGCAGCGCAATTTACACTTCAAGCGAACGATATGTACGATAACGAGCGTGGCGAAGGAGGGGATATTTTCAGTGTTCGTGTATATCCACCGAATACAATATCCAATGGAAATCAAGGCCTTCCTGTTCATGCAGTTGTAGTCGATGATACTGATTCATCATACAGTGTTGAGTACACGACATACACCAGTGGCATGAATACATTGCTTGCTGATTTGCTGATTCGAGGTGGTGTTTCTGCGACGTACTACGACAACAATGATTTCACAAATCCGGTCAAGTTTGCAGAAGGAACATCAACATTGCAGAATGTACATTTCACCTCTTCAACGTACATTTCAAATGGAGTAAACTCAATTCCAACAGTGAACAGTTTTTCTGTTCGTTATGTCGGCTTCGTGAAGCCCACAAAGGATAGCACGTATCAGTTTGTGTGGAATCGCAATGTTGGAGCTGCAAGTGATCGTGTACGTCTATGGATAGATAATACTCTCATTATCGACCAATGGACCTCTCTTGCAGCAAGTAATCCATCAGGTTCGATTGATCTCCGTTCAGCTTATTACTACGATACGCGACTGGATTACATGTACTATGATGGCTGTGTGAGTGGGTCCTGTGAGGCCTCAGCCATTCTCCAATGGGGTCCGGCGGGATCACAGGTTGCTGACATCACATCCTCTCAACTGTACATGGGATATCCTATCATGAATTCTCCATACATGGTTGATGTCCTCCCAGCTGGAACCTGTTCTGCGAAATCTTTTGCAACACCCAATCAAGCAGAACCAGGAAATAGTCTAGAACTGTCGACAGCAGGCGTTCAAGCAGAATTTAGCATCACAGCCAAAGATTTGTACGGAAACTTAAGAGGAATCGGTGGCGACAACTTCAAGGTCAGACTCACAGGTGTTGATAGCAGTGCTGGTATTGTTCAAGACTTCCTGAATGGTACATATCGTGTTACTTATACCACGACTGTTTCTGGAACTTATGACATCAGTGTTGTATTTGGAGCAAGTGGAATTTACCAAAGTCCATTCCGAATGGTTTGTCAACCTGCTACCCGTCATCTCCAGTCTTCATTGGCTGCTGGTCAAGCTCTCTCTCTTGCTACTGCCGGAATCAAGTCAACTGTCACGGTGACAGTACGAGATATCTTCGATAATTGGCAGCCAGATCCATCTGTTGCCAATGCTGGGATCAAATTCCAGGTTGTGGATGTTGCTACCTTGCAACCTATCCCTTTGGTACAAGATGCGTTGACTCCTGCTGATATTCCAAGATTTGTCGATACGATAAGCTACATCGGACCGTCAACAAATGCAGGTCACCAAGTCAGTACTCCGACAAATCTTGACAACCCCAATTTAGTTCTGCGATATACAATAACAAAGTCTGGAAATTACAGCCTTTTGATCGCTGGGAGCACCTTGAATGATGGTAAAGTATATGGTTCCCCTTTCAGCTTGTTGACAGATCCAAACATTGTTTGTGCTTCAACCTCAACTGCTTCTGGACAAGGATTGTCGATTGCGACGGCCGGAATGTCGGGTTCTTTCATCATTACAGCACGAGATCAATATTTCAATTTCCGCAACTCCTATTTGTCAGATAATTTCGTTGCTAGGGTGCGCCAGTTTTACAGCTCCGGACTGCCATTAGCCAGTAACAACGGAGGGAGCATTATGGATGTGATTGAGTGTGGATGGCCTGGATCTAATTGCAAGTCATGGAATACTTACAGTTGGGGTTGGACGACCACTGGCGGACGTGACAAGCAGGCTAAGGTGTCTGCCAATGGAGACGGTACTTATACTGTGGCATATAATGCAACACGCAGTGCAGTGAATTACTTATGGGCTACTTTGGCAGTTCCAGGTGGTCTCCAGGCAACGTATTACCTGAACGATGACTCTTTCAGTGCCACTGGAAGCAATCGAGTAGTTCAACAAGATCAAACCATTGATTTTAGCATCACTGCAAACACTCCAACGCAGCTTGCTGGGCAAACCATGTGGACAGCAAGATGGACTGGTCTGGTTCGTCCATCACTTTCTGACACATATACATTTTATCTGGGAGACTCAGGAACCCAAGTAGATCATGTGAAACTGTGGGTTGATAATAGTTTGATTATTCAACAATGGTATTCGCTCGGCTCTGAGACACCCTCTGGGAAGATCAACCTTGAACAAGATGCATACTATGAAGTACTGATGGCTGCAATGTCTAATGGTACTGCACTTAACTCTACATCCAAGTTTCAATTGCAATGGTCTGCAAACCAACATGCTAAGTCAATCATTTCAAGCTCAAGACTGTACATGTCTTACCATATTTCAGACTCTCCATTTTCCCTAAATGTTCTACCTGCTACAACCTGTGCAGGAAATTCGAAAGTCTACAGGCCTGCTCTCACTCTGACGACTGCTGGTGTGATGGCATCGTTCACTATGCAATCGCGAGATGCGTTTGACAACTTGCGTACTTTGCCAGTGGAAGAATTCACGGAGATCGATTTCAATATCCTGGCGAATGCTTCCCTTCCGATTGATGGTTCGATGATGAATAGAATTCAACCTTCTTCTGATGATGGAGGAGTTCTATTGTATTCAGGAACAGTATTTTACATTGGAACAGGAGCGTACCAAGTAAATTACACAACGATGGTTCAGGGCACTTACAATTTGGAAGGCAAAATGATGCAGCCTGGAGGTTTGTTTGGAATCTATTACGAGAATGAAGATCTCACTGATCGTCCGGTGAATACTCTCGGGCTCACTTCCTCGACCAAGCCCTATATGAGAGTAGATTCGACCATTGACTTCAACTGGATGCAAGGACGTCCTGTCCCACCGCCATCTCCTGATTTCCCCAAAGACATTGGACCAAGCTATTTCAGCGTGAGATGGATGGGGATGGTAAAGCCTATGTATTCCGAAGTTTATACTTTTAGCTTGGCTGTTGATGATGGTGCAAAACTTTGGATCAATGATCTCCTTGTAATGGATTTCTGGTATGCACGTTGCTCTGAAGTAGACGGAACAATCGCCCTTATGGCAGACACGTTGTATCCAATCAAAATCGAGTACAAGCAAAGCGTTGGCAATGCATCAATTCAGATGTATTGGAGATCGAATTCTCAACAAAAAATGATAGTTCCTTCTACAAGTCTCTACCGCAATACTACTTCTTTCAACTTATGCAACCAAAACCAATCCCTGATTGTTGAACCAGCGATTGTCTGTTCAACCACATCTACCGCAGGAGGATCTGGTCTGACTGTAGCAACAGCGGGACAGTCATCCTTTTTCACGATCCAATCTCGAGATGAGTATATGAATAACAGGAAGCTGTCCGACGCTGGTATCAGACCTGGAAATGTCCAATTTGCTTGTGACGACTGGTCTCAATCTGGTGTTCTGAACCCCAATTACATATCGTCTTTTACTGTCCATGAATTTCAGTTGGATACTCCTGCAAGCAGTGTGGATGGTTACTACGTCGGAAGAACAATTACCTTTACAGCGGGAACTGGTCAAGGACAGAGCCGAATTGTAGAATCATACACAGGATCTACCAGAACCGTTGTGGTCTACCCTCCCCTGACAGTCACTCCCGATCAATCAACGAAATACATGATTGGAAACTATGGTGGTCAATGGAGCGAGCACTGTGATGCGACGAAAACAGAGGCTTACCGTCTTGGATACCCTGAATTCCGCGTTGTTATCAATTCTGTCACTGATGTACAACCTCCGTACCATGCCCCTGGATTGGTCGATCGGCTATCAACAGATGAACCTGTCAATGATGGAGCTGCGATAGTGCGCCTGAGTTCCATCGAATTTCCTGGAGGGTTGACAGCAACGTATTACGACAATCCAGGTGTTGATCCAGGAAATAGCCTTTACTATAATCCTGGTTTCCAGGATCCGAAGTTCTCAACCTGGTGTACATCAGCTCAGCCGTGCGATCAGACAATTGATTTTTCGCATGTTGGAACAGGATTGAGCAAAAGTTTGAAATTGACGTACGGGCAGTATCCAGAAGCAATTGGAAATCTTGGTTTTACATCAGGTCCTTTAGCTGCAACATACTATGATCATCCGTCGGAGGGGTGGGTTGTCGATGAAAGACTTAGTGATTCAAATTATGGAGTCCGATGGTCAGGATACATTTCTCCGACTCTTGCGGGACTCTATACATTTCAAGCTAACTTGTTGGGCTCATCATATGATAGGGTGAAATTATGGATTGACAATAGCTTGGTGATTCAGCAGTGGAATTCATTGTCATCATCGCATGTTGTCGAGGGCACTTTTCAATTTCCTTTATCCTACCCATCAGCATACCCCATTAGCATCCATTACAAAAGCGTTGATCCACAAGCAGCTAGTGCAAATGGCTTGACTATTCGGTGGAAGAATCTTGCAATTGGTAGTGTGCTCTCAGCACAAATTTTTGTTTCAACCTTGAGCAACGCATTTTGTGCCTCGGATTCACCCCTCTCAACAACTCAAGCACAATGGATATGCCTTGCAACATTAGATCCAGTTACGCATCAACTTTCGTTCAAGACTTCATTTGGAAGTCCAAGTGAACAGGATTCATCATACATTGGACAGATATTACAGTTGTCTACCCCGTACTTGGGTCAAGAGAATCATTTGATTCAAGATTATGAAGGAGTGTACACAGGGACGGTCCGTAAAGCAGGTAGCATTCGCTTTTTTTGTTTATTTAGTAGATTTTAAACTTGTTTTTTTCAGGAACAACCAACATCACATATTTGGCTGCAGATGCTTCAACCACGGATGATTACTACACAGGACATTACATTGAAATAACGGGGGGCACAGGAGTCGGCAGCTTTGCACTCATCTTGAGATCATACGGATGTGCTCAGTCGGGTTGCGATCATAGGCTGGGAACTCTTGCTTCTGCTACAACAAAGTATTGCGATTGCAGTGGTGTTGATGCACAAAGCATTGTGCACGAGCCATTCCCAGTTGCTACCGATACAACCAGCAAGTACAGCATATTCTTATATCGTGCCCGGCTCAACACTGAGATCACGAACCATTCATACAAGTCCGATTTGGGCACTTTTGAGATTTCGTCGGGATACACTATGGTGACTTATGGTCAAGCTGAATGTGCCGAGTTCACTGGTCAGGCTGTAGGTGGAGGAAATTCGACTACCTCATCCCAAAGCTTATTTACCGTCAACAGTACTCTGTATGTACTCGATGCTTCTGCTCTTTTTGGTGGTGTGTGCTCAACTTCTTGCAACCTCTGGGCTAGTATTGGAGATCAGACTAACATTCAAGTTACAGCTATTTCTTCCAATACTCTGACTGTCGTGCAAGGAACTTTCTCTGCGGATGTTTCTTGCTCTGTATCGTCACCGTGCGCAGTCACTCCAAGAAATACTATGATTCTGAATGCAGAAGCCAACACAGTGCAAGACTTTTACACTGGATACTACATCCAAATCTTATCTGGAGCGTGTGCTGGACAATGGAGAATGATTGAAAAGTCGAACTATAATGGCTACTATGTAACGATTTCTGTTTCCACTCCCTGGTCTCTAACAACCACGTCGAACTATCTTGGCTGCACTCAACCTGACCTTACGTCGGTGTATTACTTGTCTAAAGTATGCATCGGCTCACAGATTTCTCTGCAATCAGTTGGACCCATAAGTTCTCTGACGATCAGGCCAGGGATTTACGGTAACGAGATCCTTGAAACTGCACAGAGCTCACTTGGATACTCTCCAAACACTGTTTGGGGACCTGGGTACTATAATCAACTCAGCACTCAAGGAGATTCTTACCCGTATCCTTACGAACCGTACCAGCGCGCTTGCTGCAAAGCATATTCAGGTTCGGAAAATGACAATGTGTATCAAAATATGATAGTCGTCATTACAAGCGGAACAGGAAGAGGTCAAAGGAGGTTTATAACTGGCTATGATGGTGCGAAGCTGCAGGCTACCATTACACCCGAATGGACCACGCTTCCAGATTCCACTTCGCGATAT